CGCTTTGGGCTTTCACCCCAAGCCTCCCTTAGTACCAAGAGTTGGTCTCTAGGATAAGCTCAAAACTTACTAAATATGGAATGGTGCTAGATTGCGAATTTAGACATAGGACGAACACCATTGTGTTCGGGCCGATCTCTACATTCCGTAGATATGCCAAATGAGCTAATCTAGACACTTTCCATAAATAGCATTTGGGACCGAAATGAGACTAACACAAAGGGCTATCATCTAGCAAATATTAAGGGACTAGTCTCAATATCGCGGGGGTTCCCAACACTAGCAAGTGCAAGTCAACATCATAAGTTTCTCGTCACCGTGTCAAGTATACTTGACTTAATGACAACTTAGGATTTCCTTCCTTAGTGCCCTTCCGGTCTAAGTGCACATGTGTTGACCAATTTCTCAACTATCTTGGGTGGAGACCATAAAGGGAACCAGCAGTACCGACCTTCTGCCGTCGTGGCAGTAAGGAGAGAGTGTCCGTAAGGACTAGCCGACAAGTATCTTTTGATACCCAAAGTCACATTTGCGACAAAAACAATCTTTACCTCGATCACCTTCTTGATAGAAAAATACTTTCTCGGGATTTGTGTTCTTCCAAATACGTACACTTTGTGCGTCATTCTTATGTAATTGATAAGTTGAAAGCAAATACTTCCTATGCAAATTGTTAATATCCTACATAGTTAGAAAATCATCTCGATGAGGAGGTTCACCAGCTGACTTGTTCCTTCCCACAATCTATATATGCTCATTATAAATTTGATTTGATGTGAAATCCTGTTGAATCATATGAATCACTCAATGTCGAATATCTGCTAAAAGCTTCTAAGGAAATAATGACTTTCCTCCAGTCAGATCAAGTTGACCATGACAAGGAATCCCATTCTTATCACAATGCTCTCTATGATAATATATAATCTGCACATAATCAAGCCATTTATAAAACTGTTTGACCAAAAAATTGCAAAGGCAACCCTGCTTATTAGAACTTTGACCTGATCTACTTCTAGGTCCTGACTTTGGTGTAGATTCAGCAATCATAATAGAGGATGTTTCACGAGCATCTTGTTTTTCATATTCACACCAATACTTGTATCAAGAAGTTAGTAATTATATTTTGTTAAAGAGATATACTTGATTAATGATAAAAAGCTTGTGTTTTTGAGTCGTTTCAAATCTCTAGGATCACAATTTTTGTTAAAAAATCGCCAAAAATCCACTCCATCACCCTTTCTCCTTTCACCATCTAGAAACTTATTCACATCCTTCTATAATATATACATAATAAGAGCTATAGTTTCATTTGATTTAGACAAATTCCAATTTAAATCATCTGCACAAAAATAATCCTTTTCATGGAATTCTTGCACCTCATCAAGCCATGGGGGATCCTAAATGATTTTCTTGAATCAATATAAAGTTAAATTGATTGCTTACCTCTGGAAATTGATGTGCTGCCGCCATGCTTGATCATAAAAGAACCATAAACGGTTTTAGGTCAATTATGGGGCAACCATAATGGGTGGACTAGGGCGCGGCTAAGTGTTGGGCGCGCTGATTAAAATTTGGCTAAGTGTTGGGGCTGTGGCCACGTGGAAGTAATTAGGGCGGGACGTGCGGGGGCGGGTGGGAGTGCAGGCGGGAGCTGCGGGCGGGTGATAGCCGCGGGCGGGAGTGCGCAGCGGCGACGAATGGGAGAGAGATAAAACAAAAAGAAGGCCTGATGCCACGTCACCACCAGGTAAGCGGAGAGAGAGTGCAGAAAAAAAAATTAAACCAAGCAGGATGATTATGCAGTGCACAGCAATTTATTTATACTAAACTTTCTTAAACTTTCTCTAGTAATCCTAATATAAACCCTGTTTACTTTTAGAGCCATTCCACATATATATGATGGTTGTAGTGTATATCAAGAAATGCTACTATGTGGTTGAATGACTTGAAAAATTAGGTGTTCTGGTGTGTAATTCTTGCTAATTTTAGTGGCAACCTCTATGCTGCCCAAGGCCAATATTAAATGCCACCCCTTTGAACAAAACAGCTGCTCAATTAAGTAGGGATTGGTTGAGTCAAGGATAGCTTATCTTGATGGAATTCTAATTTGTTAACATACCAATCTACCTCAGATACAATGCTTGAGAAAGATCTAATAAATTGGAACATAATGTTAGATATCTCTCAAAGAATGGTTATAGGTGACAAGCCATTGATCATTTCAACTTGACCCTAAATGAGATCTTATTCATGGTGGTTTTGATCACATATAGTAATATAAGTTAACTTCATCATGATATGGAATAGGACATAGTGATCTGGAATTGCTTAGTGCTTCAAAACTGTATTAAAATAAATTGGGAAGGGAAACTTACTGTCAAGAGCTCTATAAGTGACTCCACAGTGTTGGTGGTGAAGCTGGAATCGCTGCTATACGCAATCGCCATAATCGAAATGGTATAATTTGTTGCACTCAGTAGCAACAAACGTCTGGTTTGCTATAAAACAATTAAAAAAATCAAACATCCGTGAAATTCAGATTTATTTTGTCTCACTAAAAAAATAGAGACTTATAAAGGTTTAAAACATCCTTGTAAAATTCTATGGCCGCTCTTCCCTTAATTCCTAGCATGGGTTTTAATGCCTCTATGCGGGCTTCGAAGTCTTTGTGGTTTACAACCAGTATGACACTCAGATCTGGAGCAGCAACAAGCCCCGCCCCGCCAATAACAACGCCAAACTCGTGGTGATGGATGATGGCAACTTGGTTCTCTACACCGGCATTGGAACTCCGATCACCCACAGTGACACCGCGCAGGCCTTCACGCTCATGAAACCGGGGCTTGAGAATTCCAGAGCCGCCTTGAAATAATATGGAAGTGGCACGCCTTGTATGCAATAAGAAATGGAGATGCCATAATGTTCCTAGAAAGCATGAGAAACTCTGGAAAGAGATCGCGTGAGTATCGACATACATGGTGCTTACATTTGCTTGGGAACCTGTAGTGTACTATAGTGGTAGCCGCTGCCACTGTTAAGGAGGCCTTTCTCCAGCATTTATCTTCTTCAATCTCTCCTCCTCCAGTTTCATTGTGTCCTCCGCAGCCTTGACTGCCTTTTCCCTCTCGCGCTCGGCTTCTTGTGCCAGGTTCTTGATCTCAGTCATGAATCTAAACAGCGTCTTGGCTGCTTTTGTTTTCCTGCCAAGCGAAAGAAATAGAGCAAAAATTTAGCTTGCCCAGTTATAAGATCCACAAGCTACCTTGTCTCCACAACGTCTGCAAGGGTCGGGTCTGTTGTCCTCTCGGCATGGTCTACTACTCGCGTTACAGCCTCTCTGTACATCTGTTCTAGCTCGCTCCAGTCCGATCCACAGGCCTGGCGAAAAGAAAAAAAAGAAACAAAGAAAAAATCGCCAACTTGAGGAAAGAGAAAGCCGAGACAAACCTCAGATGCCAAGAGGAGAGAATAGTAGACGTCATGGATGAGAGTGTCTCGGTCATAGTGATCTTTTCCCATCCTTGACTTGTTCCTATAGTCTTGAATGCTCCGCGTAAAAATGCCTTTCTCGAAGTCGCCAAACTTGAGCGCCTCGGAGCACACTGACTGGCTCATGACTAGAACGGCGTCGAGTGGAATGCTGCTGCGCTCTATATCAATCTGTGTATTCCTGAGATAGCATAAGACATCACACACAACCAAGCGCAAAAAGCTGGACAAAGAAAAACTTACCATTCTCTTTCCCGTGTAGCGACCAGCGGCAGCAAGCTCGTTCTTGTATCCGGCCAGGTAAAGGTAGTACACTCTCCTCAACGCTGCAAAGAATAAAAACAATCGTGGAGAAATTTGAAAGACAAAATCGTAAGGTCGCAGCCACTAAAACTCATTCGATTTCGCAAGCCGTGTCTAGAAACCAAGAATTGAGAGATCTTACCGTCAAACAAATGCTCCACGGGCGATTTCCCAGTCTTGCGAAGATCCTCGAGCACGCCGGTCTCGTGCTTATCGGCGTAGCCCTTGCGCACCATATGGATGCCCTGAGAGAGCGCCGCGAATCCAGTCTTGGTGGCATTGAACAGCATCCCCACCCCCTTCTTGGCGGCGTATGCTGCCGATCCAGACGCCATAGCCCTTCCTCCCCTCCCAAAACCCTATCATTTAAAATTTCCCGCAAGAGAAGGTAGGATATTCTAAAAGCGGAATATGACGAGGGATATACTGTCAGCAACAGCCCGGAATATTGTGCTACCAGAATGGAATATACCGTCAACGAACGAATGAATTGAATTAAAAAGAACAAAAAGACGCAGTTCTTATCAAAGTTCTCTCAAAGGATCTCGAAAATTCACGCTCTCGGAAATCCTCTTTATTCCCCACCCATTAATCCCAGCCGCGCGGTGAAAAAGCATGTCAGGAGTTCTGCTTGAGAAAGGCGATTAGATCCGCTCGTTCCTGCGGCTTCTTCAATCCCGGGAAGATCATCTTGGTTCCTGGAATGTACTGCCACGAAAAAAAAAGCGTGCTTTTTCGGGAGCAAAAAATCGCAGTGCTTACCTTCTTGGGATTCAAGAGGTACTCGTAGAGCGTCTCCTCGCTCCACTCCACGGCCTTGTTCTTGTTGGCCGCCGAGAAGCTAAACCCGGGGCAAGTCCCAGAAGTTCTCCCAATCAAACCATGGAGATTGGGGCCTGGAAACAAACAGCCAAAAGAAATGTTAGTGATCCCGCCCAGACAAATCTCTATCGCTTCGATTACCTTGCCTGTGCCCAGCTCCCTCCTCCACGACATGGCACTGCGCGCACTTCATCTTGAAGATCTTCTCGCCGTTCTTCGGGTTCCCAGCCGGGGCGTCTCCGAAAGTCGCCATTCCCCTCGCTTTTCCCTAGACCCTGGGAGGAGATCGCGATCCGCGAATGAGAGGAGGATCGAGAATCCATGGATCCATACCTGGAAATCGCAGATCGATGCCGCAGCTCCGAGCTACTGAGAACCACAGAGACCTAAACACTGTTTCGATTCCATTACGCTTTCCTCGTGTCGGAAATTTGGCCGATATTTCCTTGACACGTGGGCGGCTTGGATGCGACCACATTGCAGCCACGAGCTTCTAGGGTTTTCTCGAGCTTAGGGTTCTTGGGCGCCCGGTAGCTAGGGTTTGGGGGGCGCCATGTACAACGGGATCGGTCTCCAGACGCCGCGAGGCTCAGGTACGAATGGCTACATCCAGGCGAACAAATTCCATGTCCGGGCGCGGCCGGGGAAGATCGAGGCCAAGGAGTATCTGCCGGGCGAGGGCACGGGAGGAGTGAGCAAGAAGGCCAACAAGGAGATTTTGGAGCACGACCGAATGCGCAAGATCGAGGTCCGGCTCGTGGAGCTGGAGGAGGAAATGCTGGAGAATGGCTTCACCAATGACGAGATTCTGGCCAAGCTCGCCGAGACTCGCAAGGAGCTGGAACTGGAGAGCAGCCGAGAGGCGTCTTTGAACGACAAGTAAGTCTCTAGTTTCTGCCTAGAAGGGTCTGATATGGTCTTCTGGATTTTCTTTTTCTTGCAGGGTGTCCGAGACCCAGACGCATCAGATCGCCGCTCGCAAGGAGCAGAAAATGGACGTTTTGAGAAGCGCGCTAAAGTCCGAGGGAATGCAGCCGGGGGAGGCGTTCGATCGAGCTCTTCAGGAGGAAAAGCGGCAGGAATCAAAGAGAAAGAGGGACGAGGATCGGAAGTTGCGTGACAAGGAGGTCGAAGAACACAAGCGGCGAGCAGAGAAGAAAAGGAAGGAGGACGAGCGTGCCGCCAAAGACGAGCAGAAAAGGAACGAAGAGGAGCGAGAGAGGCACAGGGCCAGAGATCGAGACGAGCGCAAGGAGCGAGATCGCGAGAGAGACGAGCCGCGGAGGGATCGAGGGGAGCGCAGGGACAGGAAAGAGAGAGACAGGGACGAACTCAAGGAGAAAGAGAAAGAAGAAGATTGTGACGAACGCAAGGACCGAGATCCCGCTGCTAGAGACGAGCGTGAAGACGACCGAAAGCTGCGAGAGAGGGATCTCAAAGATGACCGCAAGGAAAGAAGCAGGGAAGAACGCAAAGAGAGGGACCGAGACGACCGAAAAGAGCGTGAGAAAGAGAGTTTCAGGGACGAGCGCAAGGAACGTGAGAAAGAGAGAGGCCGGGACGAGGAGCGCAAAGAGAGAGTCCGGGACGAAGAACGCAAAGAGAGAGCCCGAGACGAAGAGCGCAAAGAGAGAGTCCGGGAGGAAGAACGCAAAGAAAGAGGCCGAGATGATGAGCACAAGGACAGAGGCCGAGACGAGGATCGCAAAGAAAGAAGCCGAGACGACGAGCGCAAAGAAAGAAGCCGAGACGACGATCGCAAAGAAAGAGAACGAGAGCGAGAGCGCGACCGAGAAGATCGAGAGAAAGAGGAAATGGAAGACGATGCTGCTGTTCGCGGGAGATGGTCTCCACCTGGAAGTGATAGCAGTGACTATGAAGATCGACGCAGCAGGCACCAGAGGAGGAGCCGGAGGTAAACCACAAAAAAAAAAGGTTTTTGAGCTTTTGTGTGTAGCTAGCTACGTACTGGTTTGTTCTCAAGGTAGTGAAAAACGAGCTTTTTGTTCAAAGCTACCGAGCTTGATCTTCGAGAAGATCTCTATCTTGTGAAGGATTTAAGTTTGAGGTAGCGAAAATGCGAGCTTTGCCACCAAGAAGCGATTTTTCTAGAGAGAACTTGGCAAAAATGCGAGCTTTTGCCACCAAGAAGCGATTTTGCTGGAGAGAATCTCGATTTGAGATTTGCGGTCCTTTGTTCTACCATTTTTCTCGCGGGATCTCTCCAGAGTGAACAATCCGGACGACTTTTCTGGGGCGGCCGCTATAGCTGCCGGATCCTTCCGCCATGTAGACAACGTCCATGCCGCTCAAGACCCTCCCAAACACTGCGTGTTGGCCGTCGAGCCAGCTCGCCTTGACGGTGGTGATGAAGAACTGGGACGTGCTCACACCGCTAGCCGTCGATGCGTTGTTTACCATGGAGAGAACCCCAGCGTGATCGTGATGGAGCTTGAAATTCTCGTTCCGGAATGCTCCCCCCGGGTAGATCGACTCGCCGCCGCGGCCATCGCCGCGTGTGATGTCGCCCCCCTGGATCATGAAGCCCGGGATTATCCTGTGGAAGATCGTCCCCTTGTAGTGGAGGCGCTTGCCGCTGGATCCCTTGCCGCGCTCGCCAGTGCACAGCGCCCGGAAATTCTCGACGGTCCTGGGCAGGATCGAGCCGTGCAGGCCCAGGACGATCTTCCCCGCTCGCTGCCCGTCAATGTCGACATCGAAGAATACCTGGTGAGTGACGGCCGGATCGCTGGGGGATCGAGTTGCGGCGATTGAGAGCGTGATGAGTAGCACAAGAACGACGGCTAGTCCCAGGATTGCCCAGATCTTGTGATTCTTCCTCGCTCCATTCTCCATGATTTAGGGTTCTTGCTTGGCATGTTGTAAGAAATCTGAGCCGTTCATTCAAAAGCATTAAAAGTCATCGGAGCCGTTCGTTGTGTTTTCTCAATCCTGGCCGTTCGCTTAAATTGGGGCTCAATTAATTCAAATGGACCTTGTCAATCCTGGCCGTTCGCTTACAATAAGGCTCATCTCGGCCATTAATTCAAAAACCATGGGATGGAAGGAATTGGGATGGAAGGAATGGAAATGAAATGGAATGGAAGACCGACCCAATTCTTTTCTACTGGGCCTTCTTGCTCTTCTTGGTTTGCGGCTTCTTCCTCACGTAGATCTTGATGTAGTAATTTGTGAGTAGCAGCATGAGCGCGAGATAGAAGACCGCATTGGCGGCGAGCGCCTCCATCCCGGAGCACTTGGCGGATTTCTGGCGAACAAGCAGCGCCACCCACGCCGCCGCCGCGATGCCGATCGCGAACTGGAGGATCTGCGCGAGCGTCACGAATTCCTTCACGGGAGGGTCGAATCCGAGGCTGGAGAGGAGGAAGTAGGAGTAGAGCAGCGTCTGGATGGCGGTGTTGACGAGCAGGAAGATCACCTGGAGCGATTGCGCGGTGTGGAGCCAGAGGAAGCAGATTATCGGGTTGCCGGCGTGCTGGATCGCGTGGAAGAGCGTGAGGCGGCGCTTGCGAAGAACAATGATGAGGGTATCGAGGAGCTCCACGAACTTGGAGAGGTAGAAGGCGTAGGACCAGAAGAAGATCCGCCCCACAGGGCGAGTCTCCACCGGGAAGCAAAAGAGCCAGTCGATGCCGCCGCTGGCTTTCCACAGCCAGGAGCTCTGCTCGTGCTCCACCAGCGTCGCCTGGAGGCATCCGGCGAAAATCGCCACCGATCCGGCGAGGAGAGCGAGATTATGGAGGATCTGGAGCGGGCCGAGAGGGATTGGAGATCGTCGGAGGCTCGTCAGGAACTTCAGGACAAGAATCGCCGCCGCGTAGATCCCCAATGCCGAGATCACGAATCCCCATGAGGCGCCCAGCGTGTGATCTTCGTCCCAGCGGAAGTGGGAGACCATGGGATGGTCCGCGGCATAGTACCTGATCGTCGCCAAGAGCTGATCCACTGGAGCCATAGCCATCGCCTCGCCGAGCTTTCTCCCTCTCTCTCTCTAGCTATCCCTCTCGAGTTTTAATGGCAGGGCCAGAGAAGAGAGTTTAAATTTTAGGGCTTTACAAAGCCCTAAACCTTCGATGTCTCACGGTGATGGCGAGGACGAGGAGGAAGCGCTTGGTTTCGAGGAGCTCGGCTTGGATCCAAGGCTACTGCGAGCCATCGCCAAGCGCGGATTGCCCAAGCCGACGCTGATCCAGCAGACGGCCATTCCACGCATTCTGGTGAGTGAAATTCTCAGGGATTTCGTGGAAATCATTCCTTGTTGCTACTCCCAGGAGGGGAAGGATGTTGTGGGAAGAGCCAAGACCGGCTCCGGGAAGACGTTCGCATATTTACTGCCAATGATCCACAAACTTCTAGCGCATACGGAGAATGCTACCGGTCTAAAGGCTCTTGTTCTTGTTCCAACGAGAGAGCTTTGCCAACAGGTTCGTTTAAATCATTGTAGACGAAGGAAAAGATCTATCATAGATTTCTCCCAGGTCTTTGACGAGCTAGAGTCTCTATTAAATTTTTCTGGAGGAGTTCTTACGGCAGTCCAACTTACAACAAGTATGTCGTCAGCTGTAGTGGTATGCTTCGATCTTTTTCTCGGTGTTTTTTTTGACTGATTTTTTTTTCTGATAGAAAGGGGCAGTGACCAGACGTCCAAACATTGTTGTTTCTACACCTGGTTGCGTTGCTTCGTGCATAGCGGATGGCACAATCTCGGCACCATCTTTAAAGGAGTCACTTGCTACTTTGGTGCTTGACGAGGTAAGGAAATAGCTGATCTTGCTCGTGTCCCAGGTAATGATCGTGATCACTGTTAGGCGGACTTGCTACTATCATATGGTTATGAGGAGGATCTGCAGAAGCTTGTTTTGCATGTTCCTCCTCGGTGCCAGTGCATTTTGATGTCCGCTACGACGAGGTCAGGATGCTACTGATGTCAGTCTAATTTTAAGCCGTGCTTGTTTCGGAAACAGTGCAGACGTTGATAAGTTGAAGAAGCTCGTTCTTCATGATCCGGTTACACTGACGCTCACGGAAGTGGATGGTTCTACGAAGGACGATGTCGTCCCCAGTACTGTCCAGCAATTTATGGTGAGTTGGAGTTGCGCTAGTGAAGTTCCATGGTCTGACACTCGATTTCCAGGTTCGCTGCGAAGCTGAGGACAAGCTCTTGCATCTGCTCACACTCGTACGCTTTGAGTTAATTCAGAAGAAGGCCTTGATATTTGTAAATGCTATCGATACAAGCTTCAAGATCAAACTGTTCCTCGAGCAGGTACGTGGAAAGGCCTTTTTCCAAAAGCCTGTTCTGAAGAAGTTTTTATTGTGGCAGTTCGGCATCAAATCCGCAGTTTTGAATGCCGAGCTTCCTCAAAATTCTCGTTTACACATATTGAAGGTATTCCAATATTAGAAACGACGACAATCATACCTCGGCTGAATGCGCAGGAATTTAACTTGGGATTATTTGACTACATGATAGCCACCGACGATGGCAAGTCTGATAAGCTAGAAACCGAGGATCAAGCTGGTGGAAAACTGAAAAACAGAAAGAAACTCAAGAAGAGGATTATGGATGCGGAATTTGGAGTTGTTAGGGGCGTGGATTTTAAAAACGTTTATACGGTATGGTGGTTTTTTTATTTTTATTTTTTTCTTTCTAAAGGATTGATGTGATATGTACTTACACTAGGTTGTGAACTTCGATTTGCCAAGAACTGTAACCGGTTATATTCACCGTATTGGTCGAACTGGTCGAGCTGGAAATGCTGGAGTAGCTGTGTCATTCGTAAGTCTAATTTTTTGTATGTTTTTCTGAACAACTATAAGCTTCCAGGTCTGTGAAGGCGATGAAGGGCTATTATCGTCTCTGGAGGATGTTCTATCTGGTGACAGTGGAAATGCAGGCGAGAAACGAATTTTGCCGTTTCCTACAATTACAAGCGGCGCCGTGGAGTCTTTGCGCTACAGAGCTGAGGTACCTTTACCATCTCTGGCCCTGGAGATTAATCCTTCACTAACAGGACGTTGCGCGGGGTGTAACAAAAATATCGATTAGGGAAGCGCGTGCGAAGGAGCTGAAAATGGAAATTCTGAACTCGGAAAGGTGAAACCATTGCATTCGTCCCTATCTTATGTCTCATGCGCTTTATACATTCAGGTTGAAAGCACACTTCGAAGACAATCCAGCTGATCTGAGTAAGTCTTTGAGGCTTTAAGTTTTCTTTCTTCACTCTTGTTTTACTCCTGCAGAGCTGCTAAAGCACGACAAGCCTCTGAGCAAGCGTCAGCCTCCTCAGCATCTTCGCTCGGTACCCGAGTACTTACGCGACGCAGAGGTCATGGCAGCGGGGAAAGCGATGAAAGCCGCCAATGCGGCCATTGGTCGACCTTCAGTGAGCTATACCAAGAAGAGGAAGCAGAACTGGGAACAGGACCCTTTGAAGTCAATTGGTGTAAGGCTCCTTGTTGGTGTCATATTGGTTGCATTTTCACCTCTGGCTTGTTGGTGTTTTTGCTCGCAGAAGAAACACAAGAGAGGTGGGAAACCTGGTCGGACACAGCATCCTGGGAGATCTCACAAGAATGCACATTCGTCGAAGAGATCACATCAGCGGCGAAAAAGATGAAATTTAATGGCTGGCTCGCACCAACCCATTCTAAGCTCCATTTAACCTCCGCACATCACTGTATGCTTCAAATTCTCAAGATAATATTAGTGTTAAAATTAAGTTTAATAATATTAATATTAATTTAATTACGAACATGCATTAGAAAGAGGGATTGAACCTCAGACCTTATGGTTAACAGCCACTCTGTCTAACCAATTAAGCTATTCTAGCTATATAATAATTAAAATGATAAAGTTAATATAAATGAATAAAACTAAAATATTCTAAAATATACTAATTACATTTATAAATCATAATTTTTCAACCAATAGGATATATATGTATTAATATAATTTACCTTTAATTTTATCACTAAAAGTAAATAAATATTTAATTTACATCTAAACAACCATACAATATTTTAGCCATATACATAAGCATGATAAAACAAACTAGAAGTAAACCTTAGCCTAGCTTCCTAACTATAAAGCATTTTAACTTTAAATTCCTATATCATAAAATATTTATAAAACATTTGTGGTTTGTATCATTCTCTTTTCTTTCATAAATTAGTCATAAATAATAACTTTAACAAGCTAAATAAACTTAATATAAAGTGAGTCTAAAGCAATATGGCCATGGAAAAAAAAATGTGCATATGGCAACACTAATATTATGACAAATGGCCACAAATGAAAGAAAATAATATAGCTTTCTTGCATGATAATAGGTATGAAAAAAAAAATGAGAATAGAGTAACAAAAATTTAAATCATAAAGCAATATGGCTAATTTTCTCCTTCCTTAAGAATGTTATCTAAATTATAATTAAAACATGAAAACATTTTCTTCATGTTGATCCTCAAATTTTTATGTAATTTTGTCTATAGAATAACCATTCTATTGAACCAAAAACTTTTTAATTTTTTTGAAGTGTGACTTTTGACCTAAAATATTAACTAAACCAACTTTCTCAACATTAACCTTTAGAACTTGGATGATAGATTGATTCATGATATCAATAAAGTGTTAATACATTTTAATTTTACTCACATAAAAAGTTAAATAAATCTTTAAAATAAGTAGCAAATCCAAAGTGTATTTCTATAAATATTCCTGAGTTTATATCATAAAAGTTTAAGTATCATGCAACAAATTAAGATGGCTTTTGCATATCTCAGTGCATTTAAAGTATATTTCAAGGATCTGTTGTTTGCAATATGAAACAACTTCTTAATCATTACAGCGTAAAAAGTACTTTAATAAAAGTGATGTTATTGAGCTAAAAACCTTCTATCACAAATGTGATTTAAAAATATTTATTGGTCAATTCTTTTAGACATTTTCCTTTTATTATCATAACAGTAAGAGATTAATAATTAGTCCCCTTTATTAGCCCTTCTTGTGCTAGTGGAGTTAATTAGATATTTCAAGTGGATATACATTGGGCAAGTATAAAGCATATAAACACCCTTAGCTTAGTAAGGAGTTTTTATCTTGTTATGTTTTGCATTAACTAATGACAAAAACTATCACATATTAAACATAGTCTTTTAATATCATTACATGATAGATTATTGTACCATCAAACACCCTCATTATCATGCTAGTGACTCCTAATTCACAATCTAAAACCATTCTATATTTGATACAAAGATTAAGTGAAATCCCAAAACAAGCTTTTATATAAAGGTTGTAAAGGGTTCCAAATGTATAACAAAGATAATGGTCAGAAGCATGGCCAATCACTTAAGATATTAGTCTGGCTCTTGTCAAGTTGTCTCTTTGTTTTGTAATTGACTTATAGATATCCACCTCTTTACATTAGACCACCAATATGTTAAAATTTTGTTTGACATTGTTTTGCATAGAAAAGCTAGATTTAATGAGTTATTGAGTGCATTTTAAACCCTCATTTCATATCATAATAGGTTTTAAATTCAACTCCAAATTCAAGTGCACTACACTTTCCCAATACTTCAAAACTAGTAAAAGATATATTTATTAAGATTAAACAGTTAGAATTTATTGTTTAGCTTAGTAAAAGCAATTGTTGACAAAGAATATTTTAAATTTGTATGATTAGTATAAAATAAGCTTCACTAATGTCAAGCTCCGTCCAGAGCGTTGGTCTTATGACTCGAAGGTCATGAGTTCGAATCTCACTAGGAGCACCTCTTCGGAGATACAAGCTTTCACAGCTTGATCGTTTTGTTGCAAGGCATTACACCGATGGGCGAGATGTGGTCTCCTACAGCACTAACACTTCTGCAAGCTGGAGTGTCTTCCCCAGCAACCTCAGACTTTGATAGGCTGATCACCACATCTGACTACGATCAGGTTGGCCTTGGTAGCAACCGGGTTAACGGGTTCTCTTGGATCGTCCAGCTGCCGCAGTTGCCTTGTCGCCACCAAGAATTTGATCCGCCCAGAACAAAGCCTATGAAAACTTTAGAATAGCGCCTGGGTGAAAAGCTGGACAGTGAATTATAAGTGTGTTATGTAAAAGGTGAATGCCATGAATTTCCTAAGGTCCCATTTCCCTCGTTGTTCCAGTCTAGAGTAAGAGAGGGTGATTTCGGTCTGAAAATCTTCCAAGTGCTTCTATCCAGAGAATGCTGCGTGTCTTATTGTAAGATCTTGGCACCCTTCTATATTTTTCCCCGAAGATTTGGAGGCGCTGTGCTTCGGAATTGCTCAGGTAGCACTCTTTTACAAAATGTCTGCTACAACGAGGTCTCCATGCCCAAGCTATTTCTTAACCTTTTTCTGATGTCCAAAGCACTTGGTGCTTGTGTAAAGAGTTGAAGGAATTCTAAGCTCCATTCACCTCGTCTTACGGCAGGCAGCGTTGCTGGTGGTTAATATAATATTATTAATCAAATATATTTAATCTTAATATTCCCATCATTATTCAGGAAAACCATCAGCTGAACTCTTCCACATATATTATCGCATGCAAAATGTCAAGGCTGCCGGCTCCAGCACTTTGAAATGTTCGTCGTCAACGAAAATAATCCTATAGTAGGCCATGTACTAATCCGTGTACGATGGACTTATCTTTCGCTAAAAGCATGCATCCCGAAGACTTGCCCCCTTAAATAGCGATGGCTTTGTGCTGAAATGGCATCCCTCCTCGCCAAGTATTTCCTACACTACAATGGCCAAGAAGTTGTTTCTCCTTGCAATTGTCATTCCCTTGTTTGCAAGCCTGGTTGCAGGGAGATGCACCGATCAGCGAGATGTGGTCATCAGAAACCTTCGCACTTATGCAAGAGGGAGTGTCTACGGCAGCAACCTCAACCTTCTGTTTGACAGGCTGATCACCACAACAGGCTACGATCATGTTGGCTCTGGCAGCAACCGAGTTTACGGGTTCTCCGAGTGCTATGGATCGTCCAACTGCCGCAGTTGCCTTTTGGCCGCCGTGAATTCGATCCGATCTGCAGCTCCCAGAGCAATAGGCGCTCGGATCTGCAAAGCTTTGTGCTACCTTCGTTACGAAAACTATAGAATCTGAACGGAGTGAAAAGCTAAATAAGAGGAGATGATGGCTTTAGCAAAAATATTATAAGTGTGTTATGTAAGGTGTTCGAAGTGAGAATTTCTTAGGATCCTATTTCTCTCATTGTATTTTTCATGCTCCAGTCAAGAATAAGAGAGATAAACTAAGCTTCTAGCGAAATACCATCAACACACTTGGGCAGGGAACAAGATTTCGAATATGTCCGCCTGAGTAACAGCAGTTCGCGGCCTAGAAACATTTTGAGAATTTTCTAGGATCCTATTTCTCTGGAAGAGCTTGATCACCGCTTACGAAGTTCATGGTAGCGGCAAGAACATTTTTTCATGCTCCAGTCAAGAGTAAGAGAGATAAACTAAAGCTTCTAGCGAGATACCATCAACACACTTGGGCAAGGAACAAGATTTCGAATATGTCCGCCTGGGTAACAGAGTCTGGAGACAGACTTCGCGGCCTACCACGCCCCAGAAACATTTTGAGAACATATAATTGCTGAAGACATTTTGAAAGTTTAGGGTTTCGACAAAGCCCAGTCCTGGTGAGTTTTCGGTGTGGAAATCTCAACTTCTATCCAGAGCATGCTGCGTGTCTCATTGTCCTTGCTCCAGCGTTGCCAAGAGGCTCATTTGGAAGAAACTTTAAGATCTTGGCATCCTTCTTCGTCTATATTTTTCCCCGAAGATTTGTGGCTTTCCTACACCTGGAGGCGCTGTGCTTCGCACACGCTACGGGAATAATTTATCTCCAGGTGAATGCTACTATAACGACTAACAAACGTTTGTTTTGCATGTTCCTGCGCAAGCACTCACTTACAAAATGTCTGCTACAACGAGGTAAAATATGCCCAGGCTATTTCTTGATGTCCAAAACATTTGGTGCTTCTCAGTTTGTCTCTACTCGAGTTTTTATGTATTGTCTGGCCTCTTTCTATTTGCACCAGCAACTCGAGCCTCGTTTTGTTTGTCATTTCTCCAATCAATTTCTCACTATACGATCTGCAGAACTATGAGCGGTTACATTCATTGCATCGGTCGAACTGGTCGAGCTGGGAATGCTGAGGTAGCTATTTCTTTTGTAAGTCGCTCTCGTGCAGCTTCTCAATTGTCAGGAATTTTCAACCTCAAGAGTCTTCGAGCTGGAGATTAGTTTGGCACTGGCCTGAAGTTTACACCCGAGGCGTAACGACTTGACAGAAGCTCGGGCGAAGAACTCTGAAAGATGGGAACGTATGTCTTTTTCGCTGCGCAGCTACTAAACCGTAAGACTTCAGCCTTTTCAGGATCCTCTGGCAGAGGGACGAGCGAAGAAATCTCCCAACGCTCGGACTTATACCAAGAAGTAAAGTCGATTGGCGTAAGCGCTCTGTTCGGGATTCGTTGTTTTGAGCGTTGACTCGGTGATATTTCTTGCAGAAAAAATGGAAAAAAAAAAAACAAAAAAAAAACAGAACGCGTGGTGGGAAATCTGGTCGGGCACAACTACCAGGCAGGTTTCATAAGAATGCACATTCGTCGAAGAGAACACATCAGCAGCAGAAACTGTGAATGCGGTAAGTGCTCTCTTTCGGACTGGCTCACGTGAAACTTTGCAGACTCGTTATTGGCACTGAATAAAAGGCTACGATATATATGCGCAGGAAAAAGTATTCTGGCGCAAGGAAGCCTATAATTCTTCAAGTGTCTACGAGCACTCGTTCTTCGTACTCACAGGGTTGAAGTGCATTTTCCTGTCAAGCAAAAGCGCGAGTCAGGAAAGGTAAGCCATTTACAAGTGAAGGACAAAAGGGACTTACTTCCGAGTATCTTAGGTGACCGGGTCTCAGCTTGCGTGATTTGACGGTGGCTTCCCATTTCGCGTTCTTTTGCTCGACCGAAGGAGACTGCGGAAGAGCCTTCCAGAGCCAGGAATGAGAAGGCGATTTCGGTGGCAGCAGCGGCGACGTTCCACCCGTCGGGGAGTTTGATCCGTTGTTTCTGGCCGGGGACTGTAGTGGCAACTCAAGCGTCGCCGGTCTGTCGAAGCCGGAGTGCGTTGAAGGTGGCCGGCTCCAGTGAACTTCTTTCTTCCTGGCCGGACTGGTTTCGCCATTCGCTACGGCGGCTTTGGAAGTCTCCTGATGGTTAAGCAACCATCCTGGACTTGGCGAAGTGGCAACGTTTTTATCAGCGGTCACCAGCAGGTTGGTTTCCAGCCGCTTCGCGAGAGTAGCAGGCACGACGAGCTCCGTAACTCTCCGCTGGTTGGAGTTCCTGTCAACGACCCATGGACAGAAGCCATCGTTCCTATACGGGTCCTCGGGAGGCTTGTAGTTCTCCGGCAGCCCCAGGAAGCCTTTGGCCTCGTGCAGCGGCGACACGGAGCCTCTATAGTACGAAGAGTTCTCGGGCTTTTGCGGACTCACCGGGGGCTTGTTGCCAAAGGTGCTGTCGCAGTCGTAGAAGGTTTCGTGGCTCTTCGGCGGCAGCTTTCGTGGGGAATCCAGCTTGGTCGCTGCTGCTTTACGAGGCTGGCGGTTTTGTTTCGGACGGGGGCACTTTCTATCATCTTCCGTTTCGGTCTCGGAGGCCTCGCTCTGTGGACAACAACCGAATCAGTTCGCTCAAAAAGATGGCAGGAGTTGCGACAGAAAACAAGTATTTTACCTCGTGACGTATGGTCAGGCCGCCGTTCACCTTCTTCACAAAGATGCTCGTGTGGAAGTCGTCCGTGGCGAACCGGTTACGGGCCCTGTCGCTGGAGCGTCTCAGTCTGGACGACGGATACTGGGGACGGAGGTGCCGGAGCGCGAACGAGAAGAAGCCGCAAGCTTTCAGCGCGAAGAAGTCGTCATGCTCGGTGGTGGTGGTGGTGGTGACGGCGGCGGCGGCGGCGGCGGCCTTGTCGGAGCTGCGAGGGATGCTACTGGCGAACTTGTACTGATACGTTTGGATCCTCTCCACACTCGCCGCGACTTGGTTCCGGGGGCTGCTGGTACTGTGAGGACTACTCAACTTGGCCAAGTTGGCCTGCTGGGAATTGTTACCGCGCGGCTTGGGAGAGAAGGAGGAAACCAGCGGCGAGGCGAAGGGCGTGGACGAGGCGGACTCGTCGGCCATGGCCTTGGCAGCAGGCAGGAACCTGCGGAGTATGAAATCCCGAGCCGCCGGGTCGTCGCTCGAGAGATTGGTGGGCGACTTGCGATACGCTGGTGGATCTAGCCTCAAGCTTTCACTTTGCCGAGCGTCGGAGGACAATGCATCGTCTACCTGAACTAGCTGCTGCTGCTGCTCGTCCGACTCACCGGTGGAAGACGGGACGCCTTTGCTCTTGAAGAGCTCCCCAAGCTGCTGCCTTTGCTTGCCGCGAGGCGGCGAATCCTTGCGCAAATCCGGTGGTGGTGGCGACTTTTTCCTCTGCCTCGGCTGCCGCAGCGGCTGAGCTTTCACATCGGCTACAGAGTGTTTCCTCTGCTGCTCCTGTTGGTGGTGGTGGCGGTGGTGGCGGTGGTGGCGATATGAATCCGTGGTGGCGGGACGAGCAGGGGTCCAGGTGGTGGCTGTTCTTCCCGGGGGCAGTGAAGGCGAGGAGCATGAGTTTCGAGCAGCGGCAGCAAAGTCGGTGTTGGCAGCGGGAGGCTCGAACTTAGGCCGTCCGGGCGTCCTCTCCCATACAAACGGCACCGCGCCAGGACTCCTCAGCGATCCCCAGCAAGCGCCCTCGTCCTCGTCGTCCTCTTTACTCACCTGGGGGCTGTCGCAGAATTCACTCCTTCGGTTCATCAATCCCCACCTTTGCTGCTGCTGCTGGAGGAGCTGATGCTGGTGGTGAGATTGCTGCTGCTGCTGCTGCTGCTGGATTTGCTCGTCGTCTGACGATGATGCCTCCAGGTGGTGCCTCCGGATCGACATGAGGGGTGCATTTAGATCCAACTTCTTCTCCCGGAGGAACTCCTGGGATTGCTGCTGCTGCTGCTGTAGGAGCTGCTGCTGGATAATGCTCGAGAACACCATCGCTGGAGTCTAGCTTCTACCAGGTAAGCAAATCTTTTCTTTTCTCCTTTTTTTTTTTCTCCTTCGCTACCTCATAGTCGTCAACGATTTCCTTCTTTTCCCCGATCCAGGAACAGCTACATTGATCCAAATCTCCATCGCTGGCTCTCGCAATGCCGAAACTCTGGATCGATCAAGCGAAACACAGAAAAGAATAAGAAGAAGAGAGGTAAGTATTTCTATCCTCGTGGAGGTTTAATATATGTTTTCCTCCCAGCCAAACGAAGAAACACCAAGAGTGTGATCGCGAGGCGTAGCTCAACAAGGAACTACCACCGATTCCCATAGAACCTGCATTGCCCCCCCATCCCATCGTGTGCATCGCTCACAACACAGATAAAATAGAAGAAGCGAACACCACAAGAACGAGAAAACTGGAAGAACGAAAAAAAAACAGAGAGTAAAAGCCGTCGGATATTCCGGCGATATAAAGCCGTCGGATATTCTGTCTGATCCAGACACGTGACGGGGATATTCTGGTCCGTCAACTTTGGCTGGCCCATGCAAGGAAATTCCTGTGTGTGTAAAGGACCATGGGATTAAACATAGAAGATTGGACCAACCAAGTCGAGACACAGCATGCAAGGCCACAGTGTCTTACATGTGTAAGGGGGAACCAAGAAGCCTGTCATGGGCATTTGCAGTAATTATTTTTTCCTGAGGTTATTTTTCTCGTTTTTCCCTTTGTACGGAGATTGACAGTGGCTTTCGTAGATCTCCGTCCATTTTACTGCTGATTGGGATTTTCTTGATTTTGCTTTTGGGATTGCGATCGCCTACCAACCGTCCGTTCTTTGATTTTTTACCGACTGTTGAAAGCGCGAGCGGCGAGGCTCGCTCGCGTTACTCATCACGTACTGGATTTTGAGCTACCCGGGGGTGAATCGTAATGATCTTTTCTAGAATCTCACGTCGAGGCAAACGTAATTGGCGATTTAGATGTTAGCATGGATGAAATTGTTTTCTTATGGTTTTATTTTCTGTTGGAGAGTGTTTGGTGAAAAATAGCACCGGACCCACGTGAGAAATCACAAAACAAAGACCACCCAGTCGACCAGCGATCCATCAGTTAGGTTTGCAATTGAGGAGAAACTGGAAGGATTGGGATTGCTTGCACCCCAAAACCAATCGCGATCTGGGCCCTCTAGATTCGATCAATCGATTGATTTGCCACACTTCCTTGCTAATGCCGAGGGTGATGTCTCATGCCTTTGACGCCAAGCAACTTAATCGTGTCAAGTCAATGCACAGTAGTCAACGCCACCGCAAAGACCAAACACTAAAGTCAACGTCCCCTTTAGAAGTCAACCACCGTGACGTTTACATTTTCCGTCGGTCAACTCCCTATTCCATGCTGAGCCACATCGGTCAACTAAAGCTAGATTTTTCAGTTAACATTTTGACCATAGTCAACGCCGAGGAATTTTTAGAAGCACTTCTCCTCTTCTTCCTTGCTGCGCACTGCCTGGGCCGTGCCGCCTCGGCATCGCCCAGCGCCTTGCCCAGCTTCCTCGTCACGGCCTCATACACCGATTTCTCCTTGCGGGCCATCTCCTCGAGCTTGGCCACCTTGCTCGCCAGCTCCTTGATCTCGTCCTGCTGCCTCACCAGCGAGCGCCGATCCTCCTTCGACTTCCCGGTCGCCTTCGCGGACGAATCCATCCGGGACGAGGACGAGAACTGGACGTTGATGAAGCTGAACACCTCTGCTTCCTCCAGTGCTTTGCTCGCGCGTCTCGCCTCGGCAAATTTCCTGTCCCGCTTCCTCTTGTCGCCGCGGGATTTCTTCTTTGCGTGTGGAGTGGACTCGCTCACGAAGTCGAGGGATGTCTTTGGTGGCAGGGCTCGGACCCGGAGAGGTGTGAGCCCCTGGCCGCTTGTCCCAAGGCCAGAGCCTTGCTTGTATCCCATCTTGGCCATGAGCTTGGAACCCACTCCTCTCCAGTTGGCGAACTCCTGTCTGGGTTTGCTGGTATCCTGAGAAAGTCCCGATTCCTGGCAAGATTTCTTCGTCGTCGCTTGACTCGTCACTGCTGCTGCTGCTGCTAGTGCTTCTCGAATCTGTCACCGCTGCATACTCGCTGAGAGCTAAAGTTTCTTTTTCGACGATCGCTTTGCTGCCATCGTCGCTGAAAACCACATTCACCACTTGGAGCTGATCCACCAGCTTCTCGACTTCGGCATCACGCCAAAGACCTGTTCCATCGTCGGTGGAGCTGCAAGCCAGGACTGTAGAGCCGATCTCTATCTCTTGCCATCTTACGCCTGGAACCTGTTAAACGTGTCATGGAAAGTTCTCTCTCATTTTTTTACCATGGGAGGAACGACAGCTTTAGCCATATCGGCTGCGCCCCTGGAAGAAGAAGCTGCAAATCTGCACACTCGGCCGGATGTCGTCAGTTTTTCATTCTCAAAAACCACTAAAACAACGAAAGAACTGGAATACAACATGCATTTTCTCATTTGTTGGCGTCAGAAAAGAAACACGAGCGTTTGTGCCATCTTCCATCAGTGTGTCGAAAGCGGCGTAACAACAAAGTGCTGCTCTCATTGTTGTTGTTGTTGTTCGTCTTTATTGCAAGCGAGTCATTCTTTCGACGAACCGAACTGGAGAAGCAGGCGGCGACGCTTGAGAGACAGCAAGCTTTCCTCGACCTCCTCGACCCTCCTCGACAAATCCTCTCGCAGCTACGTTAAGAAAAATACTTCCTGATAACGCTCACAAAGATATACTTACCGCCTGATTCCCAGGTTCGTGGAGCACTGTGGGAGCGACATTCTTACAAGCCGCGACACGAGACGATCCGCGGGAGAGGCTTCGCAACACCGATGACACGATATCGGCCCCATGGCAGATTGGAGTCCAGCCGATCGAATTGTCCCGCAGTCTCCTCGGGTGTTCGGGCCGCCGCCTCCCCGCGTGCTCCAGCTGAAGTTCTTGCCAGCGTAGTCATTCTTAAGCTCCGATCAGAAGGAGGCGGGGAGTGTACGAGCACTAAATTCAAAATAAAACGTCTTTACAATCATGCGTGGATTTGGAAGACAGACTTTTCATGGAACATATTGAAACTATAATATTTTTAGACTATACCAGTGCTAGAATATTCTGCGATGACGCGGGTATGGGGGAAAACGGATCCCTTCGCCTTCCCGGCGAGCGAGTTTCACTTCGGTTTGTTGCGAGCCGTGGAGCCTTTCTTACGAGTCCACCGCACAACGGCTGCCTCCCAGCTTGGCCCGAACGATAAGTTCAAGGGCGGGCAAATGAACAGGGATGCGCTTGACACATGCCTGCAAGTGATAACTCCTTCCATGGTGGATTATGAGAGGTATGCTCCTTTCTTTTGTCACGAGTGTTGCTAAGCTGATATGGTTTTGCTGAGAGAAACGTACAATCCAGGTCCCCCTGCAAAGGGTTCGGGGCTGGATTGTACCTTCTCAAAGCAAAACCTTGCTTTTCTCTACACAGGAGTTTTAAAGAACCTCGCACGGAGCTCAACGTGCGACCGAGGCATCTGGAACTTATCCGCCAAGTGGAGAAGTTCACAAGGCCAACAGAATTGGCATTGTATGAAGATGACGCAGCAATGGCCGAGGAAGTTGGCGATGAAAATGAACTTGGTCAGAAGGGCTTCACTATCACGCTGGCGGCTGGAGACGAGGACGACAAGCTGGTCGCCAAAGTTTACAGAGGCAAAGAAGTTGAGGAAGCTCCTGGTGGCAGCTCGACCGACGATGAAGAGGGGCTTCACATGGATACGGAAGCTGCTCCAGAGGACGTCCCGGACAAGGGTAGGACCGATGCTAGAGTTTTTGTTTTCAACGAAGGGCCACGCAACCGCGCGGATGAGCTGGAGAAACCTTACTTGTCAGCACAACGTTGTACGCTGGTCGGTGAATTCAAAGACGACGAGGATTGGAACGCAATCGCTCAAGCTGCAGCATATGCACGAGTAGAAGCACGGCGGAACTTGTCAAGCCGGCACTACAAGCCACGTAAGCGATCTTTGTTAGCAAATCTCTCCGGAAGCGCCTCATTCTTGCAGTGTATCTCCTGGCGTTCTCAAAGACGAAATTCACATATGCAATCCTGAAACCAGAGGGGTACATCTTAACAGGAGGAAACAAAGTCACTGATGCTGCATACGCAGGTACGCAGCAGTTTGGTGTGTATCTGTTATCATGAACGAACCACCTCTTTCAGATTTTGTCAACACTACAAATCCAGGGAGCACCCCTTGGCCCAAAAAAACGATGGACACCATGCTTGAGGCTGGCATCTCATACCTCCGAAGAAACTACAGTGACAAGAGAAATCCGAAATACCCCAAGCGTGCTTATGTTGTTGGCGACTTGTTGGTTGCTCCACAGGTGGTCTTCCTTTGGTTGGTTCTGTGCTTGACTGGTAATGGTATTGCAATGTGCAGTGGTATACGCTGCCGAGCACCGAGGTCATGGATGGCTTCTTCTCGCCAGACGCCAAGAAGTTCTACGAGGGACTGCTGCGTATCGCAGTGGGCGACAGGGTGCTCAAATTCACTCCATACCATGTAATGGCGGCTCTGAGTGTGAGGATGGCCATGAGTACCAAGACGAGCGCTTTCCTGGGGGCCGATTTTTCAAAGGGCTTAGCGGCTATGCAAGGGGCCCGAGCGTTTGAAATTGCTGCCCTTGGTGGGTTTCGTGTCGGGAAGCTCCTACGAGAGACTGTGGAAGATGGTGACACTAAGAGGCAGCGTCTCATGTAAATCATACAAAATCTAGAGTATCACTGCTTAACTAATACCAATCAAATATCTTCTCCCGCTCCAAACAATGTCATCTTTGTACTAACTTTGCAGATTTCCTCAGTATTTTATGCCACCAATCACCAAAGAAGCTAGCGACATCACGAGAAAATCTTCCGAGTTGAAGCCGGAGCCCATGGTATTCGGCACTTGCATGGTAGGGGAGGCCGGGAACCATTCACAAAAGAAACATCCAGTCCGTAAACATGGTTTGTCTAATATATATGAAGTTGTGTTTACAATCTACTTTAGTCTCGAGATTACCAAAGATCTCTATGTTCCTGGCTCGCCATCTTTTGTCCATTTCTAAAGATTATCGGGTGTAGTTGTTCAGTCAAATGAAAGTGCTGGTTCGGAAGATTCGAACGGTTTTCTTCAAGGAAATGATGCCTGAATATTCAGCCTCCTCTTCGCTGGGAATCTCCAGCTCCAGATACTTATTGAATTTTAATTTAACTATGTATCCTAGCAGACTAGGGGATCAAAGTCGCCACTTCCTGAGGAACCGCCACCATGGATTCCACCACCGCTAGCAGATTTCCCTCAATGTGTAGAGCACAATGCGTCAGAATCTCCAGGTATTTCAAATTCAGAGACTAATATCATAAGTTTTACAGAAGAAGAAGCAAGCAATGATCTAGATAGAACCAACAGTCCAGGATAAGATCACGCATGAACATTCGAAGACTATTTCTGCTATGTAAAACGGGCTGGTTGCATATGAAGAATTGCAAGAGCCCGAATAGTACATGGAAACCAACAAGAGACATTTTACAGTATCATGATCACGCCGCTCAGGTGAGCCACTAAGTTTACAGGAAGCAATGGGAGGATCAAAGAGCTTTCACTGGAAGGCAGCCATGTAGAGTGAGTATAATGCTCAATTTAAAAATGATTCCTGGAGGCTTGTTCCTCACAAGTCTGTAAGGGCCTGATCGTACAGTGTATGTGGGCCACGGTTGATACCCAAAGGTTGTACTCAATGAGGAGGAGTCAACTACAACGAGATATTTTCACCAGTTGAAGATGGTTTCAGTTCGTTATTTTCTTGTTATAGCCAATCATTTAGACTTAGATGCGGACGGTAAGAATGCCTTCCTCAACTGAAAGCTTGATTAACAAGTCTATATGCAACAGCCCCCAACATTTAAGAGATCAAAGGAAAAGAACAATACATTTGCATTCTATTTATATTGATTAAAGCAGATCGAGTACAATACTTTGAATAAGTTTTTTTCTACACTCTGGTTTTTCTTGAATTGAGGCTGACTGGAATCTCTATTACTACGTCCATGACCAATGATCCTGGTGTGTGTCTAAGTTGATCACTTGTTTTGCAGTTCTATAAACTTTCCAGGAAGGATGCACCATTTATCAGAATGTGGTAGGAGTGCTGATTGACTTGACAACTGCGAGCAGGCTAGATCTCAGCAGCAGTTTCACGTGTATTCCAGTCCATGTAAAATCTAGGAAACAGACACGTCCAGGAATATTTGCCGGCACAATAGCATCTAAAATATCTGACAGAATATTCTCACTAGGTCCCATATAGAACATTCATATCTGAAATATTCTAACGAATCTCAACATCAAGATTTATGACCCAGGGAAGTTACCATGAGTAAAGATTTAATATGGAAATGAATGAAAGTGAATAATTATGAGAAAAAAATGGGAAACAACCTGCAGTCTAGAGAAAAAAATGAATGTTATAGACTTTGTAGCTTTTGATATGCTCATGATAGACCACAAAAACAATGTTTTTGTCAGAAGGATCAAGTTTGGTGATATAATGCACTACCACATTGTTATGTTTCTTGCTTAACTATGATATCTGAGCTCTACTAATCCAGCACAAGAGAAATTCATAGTAGGATTGCATTAGTCAGAAGTTATTTATCATCACAAATGACTTATGCATGCATTGTAGACCAAAGAGTGGCATTTGAAGAAAGAAAACAAGTGAAAAAGATAATTGGCAATGGATGCAGCTTTGCACCAAAAAATTGACATAGAGGCTTGTGAAATATATTACAAAGAGTCTGATTTTGACATTCTGAAATGCCATTTTGCTAGGCAAAGTAGCCTACAAGAATATCATGTCAGAGGCAAACATAATTTTATCATTCAAGGATTAAAATGTTTTCTTATGGTTTCTGGAGCATTGGGATTAAAACTTGCGATCTCAAGCGCAAAACATGTCAATTCAGTAGTCACCGCCACCTGCAAAGATCGAACTTAACAGTCAGCTTTTCAGTCAACATTTTGACCATGGTCAACGCCAAGCATTTTCTCTTCAGAACCGCAGCCATTTCTTCTCTTCTTCCTTGCTGCGCACTGCGTGGGCCGTGGACTGGAGCGCCGCCTCGGCATCGCCCAGCGCCTTGCGGGCCTCGCCCAGCTTCCTCGTCACGGCCTCGAACACCGATTTCTCCTTGCGGTTCCTGCGCGCCATCTCCTCGAGCTTGGCCACTTTGCTCGCCAGCTCCTTGATCTCGTCCTGCTGCCTCACCAGCGAGCGCCGATCATCCTTCGACTTCCCGGTCGCCGCCACCGCTGGTTTCTTCTCCTTCGCGGACGAATCCATCCCGGACGAGGACGAGAGCTGGACGTTGATGAAGCTGAACACGTCGGGAGCTCCCTCTGCTTCCTCCAGTGCTTTGCTCGCGCGTCTCTCCTCGGCGAATTTCCTGTCCCGCTTCCTCTTGCCGCCGCGGGACTTCTTCTTTGCCGACGGCTTGGGTGGAGTGGACTCGCTCACGAAGTCGAGGGATGTCTTTGGTGGCAGGACTCGGACCTGGAGAGGTGTGACGAGCCCCTGGCCGCTCGTCCCAAGGCCAGAGCCTTGCTTGTATCCCATCTTGGCCATGAGCTTGGAAGCAACTCCTCTGGTATGCTTCTCCCAGTTGGCGAACAACACTGTCTCGGTTTGCTGGTATCCTGAGAAAGTCCCGATTCCTGGCAAGATTTCTTCGTCGTCGCTTGACTCGTCACTGCTGCTGCTGCTGCTAGTGCTGCTCGAATCTGTCACCGCTGCGTGCTCGCTGAGAGCTAGATTTTCTTTTCCGACGATCGCTTTGCTGCCATCGTCGCTGAAAACCACATTCACCACTTGGAGCTGATCCACCAGCTTCTCGACTTCGGCATCTCGCCAAAGTCCTGTTCCATCGGTGGAGGTGCAAGCCAGGACTGTAGAGCCGATCTCTATCTCTTGCCATCTTACGTCTGGAAGATCTTTCAGCGACGAGAGCTGTACGAGGAAACCTGTTGAATGTGTCATATCCAAGCTTTCAAGTTTCATAGAAGAAAATGTTCTCTCTCATTTTTTTTACCATGCGAGGAACGACAGCTTTCGCCATATCGGCAACGCTGCTGGAGGAAGAATCTGCAAATCTGCACACTCGGCCGGATGTCGTTAGTTCCTTAATCTCAAAAACGGCACCCATGGGGAAAAACAACGAAAGAGATGGAGTACAACCTGCATTTTCTCATTTGTTGGCGTCAGAAAGGAAACACGAGCGTTTGTGCCATCTTGGCACAAATCGAGAACTCTTCCATTATACCATCTTCCATCGGTGTGTCGAAAGCGGCATTTTGATCCAGCAACAAAGTGCTGCTCTCGTTGGTGTTGTTGTTGTTGTTCTTCGTCTTTATCGCAAGCGAGTAAATCTTTCGACGAATCGATCTGGAGAAGCAGGCGGCGACGCTTGAGAGAAAGCAAGCTTTCCTCGACCTCCTTGACAGCAGCCACAAGATCCTCTCGCAGCTTCAGCATTAAATAGAAAATTACTTCACTATAACTCTTTTCATCGCTCGCAAAGAAGATAGGTCGTGCTTACCGACTGGAGCTCCTGATTCCCAGGCTCGCGGAGCAGCGCCTCCTCCAGCGCCGGCAAGGACTCGTTGTGCTCGATCAGCTGCTCCTCCAGCTCACGCTCCAGCAAGGCGCTCTCCTCTTCCTCCTCTACACCCATTTCTAAAATCTAGGGTTCTTCGTTAGGGCTCTTCGTTTTCAGGATTTAGGGTTTATCTCAGCGCCCGCGCTCTCTCGCTCGCCGATCGATCGTGCGCCATGGACGACAGCTTGTACGACGAGTTCGGCAACTACATCGGCCCGGACATCGAGTCGGAGGAGGAGGGATCCGAGGCGGAGGAGGAAGCGATTCCAGCGGCCAGCGGCAGCGCAGGTAGAGAGAATGCAGCGTGGCTCACACAGGGAGGCGGGGACGATCTTGACGGCCCCGAGGACATGGACACCGAGGGTGGGATCGTTCTTGCCGAGGACAAGAAATATTACCCGACCGCGGTGGAGGTCTATGGCGAAGGGGTGGAGACGCTGGTCATGGACGAGGACGCGCAGCCGCTGGAGGAGCCCATCATCAAGCCGGTGAGAGCCAAGAAATTCGAGGTAGCGTCCAGAGAAGGTGTGAGGACTTTCGTCTCCACGGAGTTTATGCTCGGGCTCATGAGCAATCCGGGGCTGGTTAGAAATGTGGCTCTGGTGGGAAATCTCCAGCACGGGAAGACGCTCCTCATGGACATGCTCGTGGAGCAAACTCACGACATGAAGACGCTGGATCCAAACTCGGAGAAGCACTTGCGCTACACGGATACTCGGATCGACGAGCAGGAGAGGCAAATCTCTATCAAGGCCATGCCAATGTCGCTGGTGCTCGAAGATAGCTGTGGGAAATCCTACCTTTGCAACATCATGGACACTCCAGGCCACGTAAACTTTTCGGACGAGATGACCGCGGCTCTGCGCCTGGCTGATGGAGCCGTCGTCGTTGTGGATGCCGTGGAGGGTGTCATGGTACGTTCCTTTCTCTTTTCTCCAGAGTCTTAGATCTTCTCCATCGTTTCTTCTTCTGTGATTTTCAACTTTCTCGTGTCGTCTTTGTCCTGTCTGTACTCTTTTTTGTTTTCTACGAACTTGTAAGTAGCACATTATTTTCTTCTCTTTGCTTTTGTATTGATTTTGTTTTCTTCGTTTTTATCCTGCAGGTAAATACCGAGAGGTCCATTCGCCATGCAATCCAAGAGCGACTGCCTATCGTCGTAGTGATCAACAAGGTAAATCAACTCTTGGCTCTCGTATGCTTTTGCACTGAACGTTTTCCTGTTTTACTTGAATAGGTGGACAGGCTTATAACCGAACTCAAGCTGCCGCCGACAGACGCCTATTACAAACTCAAGCATACTATAGAAGAAATCAACACCTTTATCAGCTCTTTCTCGACAAACCAAGCGATTGATCCTGTCTTCGGCAACATATGCTTCGCAAGTGCCACTGCCGGCTGGTCGTTTACGCTACTTTCTTTCGCAAAGCTCTACGTCAAGCTACACGGCATTCCTTTTGATGCGGAAAAGTTTGCAAGTCGACTTTGGGGTGACTATTACTACCACTCGGATACCAGAACTTTTAAGAAGACTCCTCCGGCCAGCGGCGGTGACCGGTCCTTCGTACAGTTCGTGCTGGAGCCGCTGTATAAGATATACAGTCAGCTGATCGGTGAGCACAAGAAGAGTGTCGAGACTGTTCTGGAAGAACTAGGAGTGAAGCTGAGTAGCGCTGCGTATAAGATGAACGTCAAGCCGTTGCTTAAGCTCGCGTGCAGCTCGATATTTGGTTCGGCCACTGGTTTCACGGATATGTTGGTAAGGCACATTCCTTCAGCAAAGGTGGCTGCTGCAACGAAAGTCGAGCACACTTACACAGGTCCACAGGACTCGATGATAGCAGAGTCCATAAAAACCTGCGACGCGAAGGGGCCGCTGATGGTGAACATCACAAAGCTCTATCCAAAGAGTGATTGCAGCGTGTTTGATGCTTTCGGAAGAGTTTTAAGTGGAACCATCGCCACGGGTCAGAAGCTCCGGGTCCTGGGAGAGGGTTATTCTCCAGATGACGAGGAAGACATGGCAATCAAGGAGGTGACGAAGTTATGGATTTATCAGGCACGTTACAGGATTGCTGTGAGCAAGGCACCCGTGGGAAGCTGGGTGCTTATAGAGGGTGTGGACACATCAATCACGAAGACCGCGACTCTATGCCCGGAGTTCACTGACGAGGATGTCTTTATTTTTCGGCCGCTCAAATTCAACACGTTGTCTGTCGTGAAAACAGCAACTGAGCCTCTAAATCCGAGCGAGCTTCCCAAGATGGTCGAAGGTCTTCGGAAAATCAGCAAGAGTTATCCACTGGCTATCACGAAAGTTGAAGAGTCCGGAGAGCATACTATTCTTGGTACCGGGGAGATTTTCCTAGACTCCATCATGAAAGATTTGCGAGAGCTTTACTCGGAAGTCGAAGTCAAGGTAAGTTCTGTCTTTTATAATTCATTTTCTAAGTGACTAACTGGCCTTCTTTAGGTTGCTGACCCTGTGGTATCATTCTGTGAAACTGTTGTGGAGTCCTCGTCTTTAAAATGCTTTGCTGAAACGCCTAACAAAAGGAACAAGCTTACCATGGTACGTTCCATCCTACTTTATCTGCAAGAGTTATATGAATCTGTGTGGCTTTCCAGCTAGCCGAGCCGCTCGAAAAAGGACTATCCGAAGATATTGAAAATGGAAACGTGTGTATCGACTGGCCTGCTAAGAAAGTTTCAGAGTTTTTCAAAGTGAGGTATGACTGGGATGTTCTCGCCGCGCGGTCTATATGGGCCTTTGGTCCTGATAAGCAGGTTGGTCGATTCTTTCCTTTCTCTGCTTTGCACTCAACTTAAGTTTCAGGGACCAAACATTCTCTTGGACGACACTTTACCTAGTCAAGTGAACAAAGGGCTCCTCAGTTCTGTCAGGGACTCCATTGTGCAAGGGTACCAAATATATTGTTTAACGCTAAAGCCTGATATTTTTTTGATAGGTTTCAATGGGGTGCCCGCGAAGGACCTCTCTGTGACGAGCCTATTCGTAACGTGAAGTTTAAAATACTGGATGCAACAATTGCGCAAGAACCTTTACATCGTGGTGGGGGTCAAATTATTCCCACCGCAAGGCGGGTCGCTTACTCTGCCTTCTTAATGGCAACGCCCCGGTTGATGGAGCCAGTCTACTATGTGGAGGTAACATGTGCTATATATTTCATCCCATATCTGAAAACGTTCGTTTTCTAGATCCAAACACCTGTGGATTGTCTCACGGCAATCTACACAGTTCTTTCACGGAGGCGAGGACATGTCACGAGTGATGCGCCAAAGCCTGGAACTCCTGCATATGTCGTGAAGGTAGAAGCATCGTTTGAACTCTTCACTGCACAATCTTATGTTTTTCTTCCTTTTTTGTTTTTGTTTTTTCTTTTTGTGCAGGCATTTCTACCCGTGATCGAGTCATTCGGATTCGAGACTGATTTGCGCTATCACACTCAGGGCCAGGCCTTTTGTTTGTCTGTCTTTGATCACTGGTCCATCGTTCCGGGTGATCCTCTAGACAAGTCCGTGGTTCTCCGGCCACTGGAACCAGCGCCCGTGCAACACCTTGCACGAGAGTTCATGGTGAAAACTCGTCGCAGGAAGGTCAGTAGTTGTAGCTAAGCTCTTTTTTTGATCATGGGAATTTGTGTTTGGCAGGGAATGAGCGAAGACGTGAGCATTAACAAGTTTTTTGACGATCCAATGCTGCTGGAATTGGCGAGACAAGACGCTGACTTGCAGCAAATTCTCTAAGAGCTCGAGCTCTTTTCTTTTTTCTTTTTGCTGTACCATCAAACTCATCAAAAGGTAACTTCCATCTGATGTAGCTCAGCCCAGCAGCCACGCACAATTTAGGAACCATGACGAATAGAAGACCAGCTCAACCAGAATGGAAAAGCACTTCAAAACAAGTTTTGTGGAGCAAGCCGGTGGTTGAAGTGGAGTGTGGTTTAAATTTATTAATTCCCTTTTAGATTTATGAACTTAAGCTCTTTATTTAGGTTCTAGCAATTCAAATTTGAATTTAGGGCTGTTGTTAGGGTTCTTGAGGTTTATGGCAAGGAGGGCCGCAAGGCTATTCCCGGGCCATGGCGCGCGGAGAATGTCCACCTCCACGCTCGCGTTCGAGGAGATGGAAGACAATGCAGCGCATTCCAAGGAGAAAACGGTGATGTTCCTGCACGGGTTGCTAGGGTCTGCCAGGAACTGGCGGGGATTCGCCAAGCGGCTCCAGTCTGCGATCGATCCAGGTTCCTGATCGATCGTTTGTGCTGGATCTGTCCTGAAATTCGCCGTGGCACCTTGCAGCTTGGAGAATTGTGATGGTTGATCTTAGAAATCATGGCCAGTCCGGCGAGCTGGAACTATCGCCCCCTCACGACATCCCTGCGGCAGCCAGGGACGTGGCAGATCTCATCAGAGCTCGTCCGGAGCTCTATCCCGACGTGCTGGTTGGGCATTCCATGGGAGGGAAAGTAACGCTAGAATTTGCCAAGTCCTCCATGGAGAGAAAGTATGGAAGCATGACCGTGCCTAGACAAGTGAGTCTTTTCTTTCTTCTTTCGTTCTCTCAAGTTGTTCTTACTATGGTCTTTCCTTTTCGTGGAACTTCCTCGCAGTTATGGGTTCTTGATTCTGTCGTTGGCGAAGTCCCAATAAAAAACGAAGAAGGCGAGGTGGAAAGCGTGTTGGAAACCATCAGAACTTTGCCTCAAGTCATACCATCACGCAGGTCTCCTCTCACTGATTCATGATTTTCTTTGCCAGATTATAACGGTGTTATTGTGTTCTTCACTAGATGGCTTGTGGAGCGGATGCAAGAGCTAGGATTCTCGAAAGGCCTCGCCAATTGGCTGGGCAGTAACTTAAAAGCAATATCACCCGGCAGCGAGGAGTCAAAATGGGTATTTAACTTCGACGGCGCGTACTCGATGTTCACGTCTTACAGGTGCTTTGCTCGCAGCTCTCGATTTCTTGCTGACACTCTCCACTCAGGAAAATGGATTACTGGTCTCTCCTGGAAAATCCCCCAGCTGGGAGTGATATTGGCATCGTCAGGGCGGGCAGGAGCGATCGATGGACTCCTGAGATCATTGCTCGTCTGGAAGAACTCTCGAGAGCGGCTCCAGACGATGGTAGAAGGGGCAGTGTTACGTATCGTGTATTGGAGAATGCTGGTCACTGGGTCCATGCCGATAATCCTGAAGGCTTATTGGAGCTTCTGCTACCATCTTTCCAGTCCTGAGGGTAAGGATCAAGGTGAAGACCCTGAGCGAAGTAGAGTTTTGCTTACTGCTTACGTTCTTATACAGATAATCAAAAACAAAATTTTCTATCTTCCTTGGCCGGCATGATCAAAGGAAGAAAGTTGCTTGCTCACGATGCAGTGTTTCTCAAGAGCATCGAAGCGCTAGACACAGCCCTTGGCCTTCAGTTCTTCGTCATACTCTTCTTCCTCCTCCTCCCGACGCGCCATCTCCTCTTCGTGAATCTCAGGCGTCCTACGAGCAAAACAAAGCACGAGCTTTCGATCGACCACACCGACTGGAAAGAGCGGTTGCTTTCTTAGCAGGCTTCACTGGCTCCTCGTCATCTATAACTTCTTCCTCCGCGTCGTCAACTTTTTGCTTGCTTACCAGTCGTCACCTTTTTTGCTTTTTCTCTCTTTTTATCATCAACTATAGCTTTAACTTCTTTCTAGCTTGGTTGGCTGAATTATTACTGGATTAGCTTACCCATTTGAGTTCATTTTAAATTTCAGAAAGTAAAACGTCTTCTTCTTGGATAATCCGGAGGCTGAAAAGGATGACGGCGAACAAAAGAGCTGGAGTTCCTAAGAGAAGGTGACTTGAGCCACTCCATTCGACGCGAGAGCTGCGACCATCTCTGGAACTGTGACGAACACAATCACTGGATTTCCCGGAGACGCGGCCTGAGCAGCAGCAGCGGCAGCGATCTCGCCCGAGGACGAGGACGAAACCGGCACCACCATCACGCTCTCCAGCCCCAGCTGCGCCTTGATCAGCTCCAGGTTCTCCTCAAACACCCACCGCTCGTCGAATGGCAGCCGCAGCTCCAGCGCCTGCGGCCCGACCGACAGCGTCTCGTCCTTCTTGAACTTGACGAACGGCATGCACTTCTTCTGGATCTGCTTGAAGTCCCCGGACTGTCCCACCGAGCTCTCGCGCAGCCGGGCCAAGATCTCCGCGTCCGGAGTGAACGTCCTGCTGCCGCTGTCGTAGCACGACTGGAGAATCTTCAGGGACTCCTCCTTCCAGCCTTCGTACTTCTCGGCTACGTAGATCAAGCCCGCCAGTGGAGCCGGCGCTGCTGGAGGCGCTGCTGCTTGTCCCTTCTTGGCCTTCTTCGAGCCGGCCAGGTGCTTCTGCAAGGCCTTCCGGAAGTCGGCAAGGATGGACTGGAAGAACTTGTTCGCTCTCTGGAGGGTCAAGTCGGGAGTTCCTGAGGTTGGCCAGCCTGCCGTCACTGCAAATCCTTCCTGGTGAAAGATCTCCGATCGGACATACTCGGCGTAGTGCGGGCAAATTGGAGTCAGTAGCCGAGTCTGGACGTCCGCGAACCTGAAGATCAAGTCCCTGTTCATGCCCGAGGAGGAGCACGCCAACCGGTACTCGTCCCTGGCGATCTGGAGATCGTAGAAACCCGACTTGAGCGCCTCACGGAACATCAGAGCTTTGTAGTTCTTCTCTGTCTGGTTGATAGCAATGTTGATCTCGTTCTCAAACACGCGGTCCGCGAATGTAGTAGGGAGTCCCTTCCTCAGATCCTTTTCAGCAGCCATGAGCTCGTCGCTCATCCAGGCCATCTCCTTCGTCAGGCGTAGGATGGCGGAGTTTGCTGTCAGCTTGACGAAGTTTGCATCGTCGACCGAGTCTCCAGCGTCCGCCAGGCCGAACCTCGTTGCATCTGCCGAGAAGTCATTCACAGCGTCCCGAATGGTGAGGAAGTTCCCAGTCGACTTGGCCATCTTCTCCCCGTTCAGCAGCAGGAAACCATTGCACCGGAACGAACGAGGCCACCTCTCCTCCGGGAACATGGCGGTGTGATTGTAGATGCTAAAAGTCAGGTGGTTCTGGATGAGATCCTTCCCAGAGACGCGCAAGTCGAACGGATACCAGTAATCAAATTCCTTCTTCATCCTCTGCAGAGTTTCAACCGGAATCTCGCTCTCTGGAAGAGGTCCCATGCCAAACACGAAGTCCCAGACTTTCCTCGTCATCTGCTCGGGCTTCAGAGCATGGTCACCTTTGCCATACAAGTCCCCCTCCTGTAAGATATGTGCCACCGTGTAGTACGCCATGTAGATGGTCGAATCTGACAGAGACTCGATCAAAAAGTCCTGGTCCCAAGGAAACTTTGTGCCCAGCCCGAAAGAACGCGAGCAGGCCCATTGGTTCAACCATCCAAGAGCGTGCTCGAACAAGCGCCTCGTTTCGTCACTGTAGAGCTCCATCTGCGTCAGGCATTTTTCCGCCTGTGACTTCCATTCCTCCTCACCATACTGTAAGTACCACTGGTCCGTCAAGGCCACCACACACTCGTCTCCTGACCTCGATATCACTTTCTTTTCGGGCTCGCTATAGATAATAGCTTGGCCGGACTCCACCAGCAACTTCTTGATCAGCGGCTTCGCCTCCTGGACTTTCATTCCGGCATAGTCACCCACCAGCATCTTCCCGTCTGTGAACCCCTTCAAGTACGTCATCTTCTTTGCAGCTTCCAGATCATCCCGGTTGTTCTGGCTCTTGATCTTCATGCTGATGCAGACCGCTTCCGCCGACTTGTCCCCGAATTCCGGAATGTTGATGATGGGAATGACTTCGAAAGGTAGCACCCACTCGTCTCGGACGTTAAACTTCGCCCGCAGCCCAGGCTTCGACTTCAAATCCGAGAGTGCCATGTAGTCGTCGGGAGAGTCGCTTGGCACACTCGTCACAACTCCAGTACCTTTGTCCGTCTTGATGTTCAGCATCGGCAGCACGTAAACCACTGGATTCTTTGCAAGCGGAGAAACCACCGCCAAACCGATCAAGTCCTGTCCCTTGAGTTCCACCAGGCACGTCGGTTGCTGCGGAACCCGTGACAAGTTCTGATAAGCCATGTTCAAGGCAGCCCGAGCCGTCACCACGAAAACTTCCGTCTCGCTGACTTCATAAGCACCGTAGTCACCGTCTGCCAGAACCCATGCATTTGTTTGGCCATACATGGTCTCCGGCCTCAAGGTGGCAGCTGCCAAGAACACCTTCTTCCCTTCCAAAGCCTTGAGTTTCCCTGTGAAAGGAGGCTGGACCTCCATTTTGATAAGTACGTACTCTTGAGGACCCACACCCTCGCCGGAAGCTCGATCGTGGTCGGCACAAGGCTGCCTGTCCAGAGGAGAATAGATGGCATACCGCAAATCCTTGCCCACCTTCTTCTTCTCACGCAAGTGCTCAAACTGCCACCTTACGAATGAGTCGTAGTAAGGATTCGCCTCTGTGGTGATGAAAGAGCGTCTCCAGTCACAGCTCAGGCCGAAGAACTTCAAGTCGTTCTTGGCGATGGGCGGAAAATACTCCAGCCAGTAGAGTGGATCCCGGAACTTGGCAATCTCATCGTCCTCCAGACCCAAAGACCTCATGATCGTCCACTGATACTTGGAAGCACCGGACTTCGCCACAGCCTTGCTTTTCTTTGCTTTGAACTTCACCTCCACTGGAACCTCTTGAGTGGCCTCTTCTTTGTTCGCAACTGGAGCTGGAGCTTCTGCTGGAGCGTCGTCCGTCACCTCTGTAGGAAACACTGGAGGACACCCAAATTCTTCGCTCTCGCGGACCAGCTTATCGGCACAAGCCTTGATCGGCATCCCTGTGCAGTGAAATCCCATTGGCAGCAGCACCTTCGTGCCACAAAGCCTCTGGAACGCCGCGGAGAACTCTAGCTTGGAGAGCGAGAACGCGTGGCCCAAGTGAAGCGCCCCATTCATGTAGGGGTATGGAAAGTTCCCGAAATATTTCTCACCGGGCTTGGGCGGCTCGTCGCTCGCATCGACCTCGAAGACCTTGGCGTCCTCCCATCGCTTCTGGATAATCGTCTCGATACCCAGCAGCTTGTCACGCCGCTCGGTGCTCATCTTCTTCTCGGCGCCATCGCTGGCCATCCTGGATCGATGAACAGAGAAAATGCGACTTAAACCACGGAAGATCTCTCGGCGAGTAAGAAAACTCACGTCGCGATGCAGCGAAGGATGCGACGTAGAGAGCCTCCCGTGTTGCCGCTACAGCAGCGCCGCCGCCGCCGCCGCCGTGCAGTGAAGCTCTCGTTCTCGTAAACCCTAATCCTCACTGGCAAGGCACCTACAATGGTCAAGGGTTCCATACCTATCTATCTTGAGCAAGGCGAGTCGCTTTCTTAATGGCTAAGCAATCTCTGGACGTGGGTAACGTATTTTCTCATGCGTTTTCTAGATTGTTACACAGTTCTTTTGCGAGGTAGAAGCGTCAGTCGACTGCACAATCTTATGTTTTTCTTTTGTGCAGTCATTTCTACCTTGAGACTGATTTGTGCTATCATCCATCGTTGGTGATTCTCTAAAGTCCGTGGTTCTCGCAAGAAAATCCGGGCAGCTTATTTAAATCCCTCAGTCTCATGGTTCTTGGGGGTGCTACTAGACCATGGAAACAGTATATGAATGAATGAATGAATGAATGAAGGAATGAAAGCTCATTCACCATGTTATATGGGAGTTACTAATTATTAAGAAAAGTTGATATGAAGTGGAAGCCACTTTTTATTCAATAATTATATATCAAAACTTTTGTGATAGTTTCAAACTTGCATTTGACTATTGATTTTAAATTATACTCTACAATAAACTCTTGGAGCTTCTTAACTAATTATATAGTTGGACTATTAAAATAAATATGTTTGTAATTTATAAACACAAGATTAATCTTATTGCATATCAATCATTAGATGATAGAATAAAAAAGAATATACTAGAAATGGTTTAAGAAAGTTTATAAATTATAAATATAAGATTAATCTAAATGAATAACAACCTTTAGATGGTAGAATATCCTAGAATGTTCAAGCATATTCTAGGTATATTCACTACCATACATAAGCAAACCAAAAATCACCAAGTTATTCAACCCTAAACCAAATAAATACATAATAAACGTGATATAAAAACCTTTAAATGTACTATAATAGTAATTACTACTATGGTAAATTTAAAGAAGGGTACATCAGAGTTATTTTAGAAAAAAAAACCTTAACTTGTGAGGGAGATGTATTAGCCAAGAGTAACTAGTTATACAATTGTTTACACATAAATGACTTTTTATATTATAATTAAGATTTTGATATATCAACCCAAAGACTGTCCATCACTCAAGACTTAATTTATATTTGGCAGCTTATTGCTTTACATTCAATATACATAATATGAAGAAAGACACCTTAATTATCCATATTTTGGAAAGCTGAAAAGAGAATTATTGTAACGTACATTTATTCACATGTTCTAAAAAATAAATTGCTGCACATTACATATTGATTTGCTTAATACTGTTTAGTATTATCTTTTGGAACTAAATAAACTAGAATCTAAAAGGTATAAAATGAAAATCTTCTATTGTTCTCTAGGAATCCAATTGATCAAATAGAAGCTTATAATTTATAAACAACAAACTAAAATATACTAAAAAGTGCTTTAGAAATTTTATAAATTATTAACATGTTTATAAATTATAAATACAAGATTTCCTCCAAGGTATGCTAATCTCTTCACTGCTTTGCTCGACACTCAATGCTCGCAACTCCAGGTTTTAACCGAGCTTGCGCCGTATGTCTTACTGGCCGAGAAGCTGGGAAAGCTAGCCGTGCAGCTGGCAGCCGGCGGGGGCGGAGTCAAGGACGTAACCATCAGCTACACGTCCGCCCGGTCCCCGGACGATCTAGACACCCGGCTCCTCCGCGCGATGATCGTCAAGGGCCTGGTGGAGCCAGTGTCGAACGCCTTCATCAACCTCGTGAACGCGGACTACGTCGCAAAGCAGCGTGGCATCCGGATCAGCGAGGAGAGGCACCCGGCCGAGGGGGGGAGCACGCAGGCCCAGCCGCTGGAGAGCATCGCGGTGAAGATCTCCAACGTGGAGTCCAAGTTCTCGAGTGCAGTCTCCGACGGTGGGAGGGTGGCGGTGGCGGTGGCGGGCAGCATCAAGGACGGCTCTCGCAGGTGGGGCAGTTTAGCATGGACGTGAGCCTGGAGGGATCGGTCATCAAGTGCAAACAGGTGGATCAGCCGGGGATCATCGGGAAAGTTGGCGGGCTGCTGGGGGAACGTGAACGTGAGCTTCATGAGCGTGGGGAGGAAACAGGCGGTGATGGCGATTGGCGTGGATGAGGAGCTGAGCAAGGAAGTGCTGCACAGGATCGGGGCCATCCCGGCGGTGGAGGAGTTCGTGTTTCTCAAGCTCTAGGAAGCTTTTTCTGCCACAGGAACCTCTGGAAGATCATCGCTCAAGCGAAGGGAATGAAAGTTCTATTCATTGTCCAGCATTGACTTCTTGTGTGAGTGAGAGCCAAGGTCCAATTTAGGGTCATTCCATGGCGATGGCGAACGAGAAGGTGTGTGTCACCGGCGCTTCTGGTTTCCTGGCATCTTGGCTCGTGAAGCGGCTATTGGAGGAGGGATATCACGTCGTCGGGACTGTGCGCGATCCAGGTACATACAAACGAGAAGAAACATAGTCTAATTCTCTTGTTTGTGATACTAGACGATGCGAGCAAGATTTCCCACCTGTGGGAGCTTCCAGGGGCGACAGAGAGGCTGGAGCTCAAGAAGGCCGACCTTGTCACGCAAGGGGCCTTTGATGATATTGTTCAAGGCTGTCATGGAGTTTTCCATGTCGCGGCTGCCGTGACTTTCAGCTACAAGGAGGATCCACAGGTAACTTTGCTTTGACTCCTTCGATTCGGTCTAGTCTTTACTGGTTGTTTTTGCTTTCGGTTCTTCCAGGCCGAGATTGTTGATCCATGCTTGCTTGGAACTCTAAACGTGCTCAATGCCTGCAAGAGATCCACAACAGTCAAGCGAGTGGTGTGCACGTCATCCGTGGCTGCTGTTCGCGTGAGGAACGACTTCAAGCCCGATGACGTCTTGGATGAATCGGTGTGGAGCTCCCCAGACTGCTGCCGTGAGACTCAGGCAAGTGTCTTATTTCCAAGGGACCAATTCTTAAAAAGTTTTTGAAGTCTAGATGTGGTATGGTCTGGGAAAGACTCTATCCGAGCAAGCAGCACTCGAGTTTGGGAAAGAAAGCGGCATAGATGTGATCACAATCGCTCCCAGCTTAATCGCTGGAGAACTTCTCTCGTCCAGGCCCACCGCAAGCGCTGCCGATATTCTCCGGCTGCTCCAAGGAAAGCCTTTCTATATCGGAAGAAAAAAGAGAGGACGTTTTTGAGATTCCAAACACAATGCAGGAGCCAAGCAGTGGATAGATCACACTGGATACGTCCATCTCGACGACGTTGCTCAAGCTCACCTCCTCGCCTACACAAATCCCAAAGCCAGTGGAAGATATGTTTGCTCTGCTATCAACATGAGTGCGATCGAGCTCGCCAGCTTCATGTCCAAGAGGTATCCCAAGCACAAAATCGCCTCTACCGACGAGTAAGATCACGCAAACAAAAATTTAGTTTTCTGTTGCTGTTTTATACTCATTCCTTTGCTTTCTTACAGGATCGAGGTCCGGTGGCCGGCAAATTTCAAGGGATTCAGCTCCAGAAAGCTTCAGGACGACCTTGGGATCCAATTCAAGTCGCTGGAGCAAATGTTCGACGATTGCGTTGAGAGCCTGGAACGCAAGGGCCTCTTAGACGCAAGTAAGAGTAGATCGCTTGGCTCATTTCCTTCTTGATCCAGGTAACGCAAGTGTGGCATGTATGGCTAGCAAAATAAGCACTATAGTCATGATCGAAGCACTATAGGTCCATCTTTACTGATTCTCCAGCTTTGCCAGCTCCAGGAGGAGCAAAGAGCGCTATTTTTTTAAAAATTACAAAACCATATCAATGAGCATGAAAACACACCCAATCGGCTGATTTGATGAACTTGCTCTTGATGTGAACTATGAAACTGTGAGTGGTCTTGATGCAAGCTCCAGACTGGTCACACCTGATAAGAGAACCTGATGAAACTCCACCGACGAGCGAACAATATGAAAGCACGCTCTAGACCGGTGTTATGAAAACCTGATAAGAGAATGAGATGAAAGTAAGGTCCAGACTGATGTAATGCAAACCTGACAAGAGAACAAGATGAGAGCAAACTCCAGATAAGAGAGCAAACTCCATATCAGTGGAGGCCCTGGCATCTCAAGTGCTAAAGGAGCATGCTTAGCTAGAGTTTGATAGATTGAATCAAATAGTTATTGAATCTCAAATTTTATAAAATTTAAATCACTGAATCTTTACATCTATATCTACATGACAATTTTGCATGCGACGGGGCTGGGTTAAGTTGTCTGGAAAAATGTTTGTTCTAGCTCGTCTACTGGAGAACCTACGGAAGAAAACAAACGATAGGATCGTGCTTGTATCGAATTATACACAGCATCTTCTCATCCTCGGGATCAGCCCTCTTCTTCCCCTGTTTGTGCAAAATCCAAGAGAGTTGAATCGATTCGACATCGCCCGTTCGAGAAACTTAAATCCATGTTGCTCATTTAAATGCGAAAGATCGAAGAGAAAGGAGAGAGACTCGTTTTTACATACGGGCGATTGAGCAATAGCTTCCTGAAATCTCTACAAATCGATGCCACTCCCGGGCTGGAGGCGGCGGTGGCGCCGATGATGCCAAGATCATCACAGCATTTGCGCTGGCCGCCGGGGAGGACCGGCATCTCATCAATTGGCCCGAAAGACCCAATGCACTCCTCATCGCGATCTCTAGTAGTTCACTGGCAAACAATCTTTCCTCCGATCGATCGATCGATCGACGAACCGGGAACCAAATTTGAAGAGCGGCAAAAACCCGGGAGGGATTTCAAATCAAAACCTTTTGCCACGTAGGCGTCGCCAAGATTTTTAACCCCCTTTTGCTTAACTTTCATTTTAAATAATATTAAGAATAAACTAAAATAATACAAAGTAGAATATCCCAGAATCCAAACATATTCACGATTTAATTACTTTGATATCTTCTTTTTCTTTTGACAACCAAAAAGTGTCTCTTTGATTGAAGTAAACTTCTAGTTTCTATTGCAAACATTTGACCTCTTCTACTTATATTTCTAATTGAGAGTAGAGAGTTTGATGTTATAGATTCTTCTAATTCTTGTTGAGGTCTAGACCTTTGTCATTCACTATCCAATACTTATCTGTTTTTGATGATCTAAACTAATAAATGACTATGCACATTAACTTATAAGCCAACTCTAAGCCTACTTTTAATAACTCAGAATTTCTATGCAAATGTTCACAAGATAAACCATATAACATCAATAACACAAGAAAATGGAAGATTTTCTCGTTTGTGTAGCATGGCCACTTCAGGTGAACATTAAAACAGTTTACCTTAGAATACTGTTCAAGATAGAAGAATAACATGTAAAAAATAAGAACAATATCTTCCTAACCAATAGGAAAGCCTAGAATGTACCTGAAGATTCTATAAAGCAAACCATATTGAAATGTTTTAACAGAGAAGTAGAGCTATAAAACAATTGATCAAGCGCTATTTGATGTGGTTCATGCTACGTTTACAAATTTTCGGACAGAGCGATGACACTCCCCTCCCGCCCAGCATTTGCGGAGCAATTTCTTCCAATCATTATATTCTACGATAGGATCTACCAATGCCTCAGTGGAAATGTGACGTGGCAAATTTCTAGGGTCAGGGTGATCGTTTAAAACACGCGTCGGATAGTTTTAGGACTTATCTGGGCATGGCTATGGCGAACGATGGAGGAGGCACGGTGGTCTTTGCGAGCGTGGGACGATCCCACTACGCCTTCGACGCATTCGCGCTCGACATCGCCACGCTCAAGGAGGAGGTACTCACCGACGGCGTCTCGGTTAACTTCAATGCCCAATTCGTGGAGGACGATCCGGTCTCTCTGGAGCTCCTGTGCGAACACGATCCAATGCCCAATTATCACCAGGAGGAGAAACCCAGTGCCGTGATCTTCGTCTCGGAGCGAACAGGAGCTAGCAACATCTTCCTCCGCCGCCAGTCGATCACAAGTAAGTCCGATCGTGATGATCACAGCTCCACGCTCAAGCTCGGCAGCCTCGACGCTGGCGATGGATTCCTCTACTGCGATCGCCCCTGCGTCGCTGGCGGTGGAAGGATCATCTTCGCCTCCACCAAGGGCTCGCCGGAAATCTCGCAGAATCTCCGCCAGCCTAGCACCGCCATCTTCTCGGCGTGCCTGAGGATCGGCTTGACGAGGCGGCTCACTCCCGAGGGCGTCGCGGACTATAGCCCGGCGCTCTCGCCCTCGAAGAAATGGATCGCGGTGGCCTCCAACGCGGGCAAGCCGTGGAACGGCGAGATCCACGAGCTGGAAACGTCGCTGTGGATCTTCAAGGCCGAGGATGGATCGTCTCGAAAGATGGTCGTGGAAAGAGGAGGATGGCCAACTTGGTCGGACGAGAGAACCATCTTCTTCCACAAGAGATCCCCCGAGGACGACTGGTGGAGCATCTACAAGGCTGTTCTTCCGGAGAGTCTGGAAGATCTCGACGCCGCGAAGATCGATCAGGCCGTGGAGCGAGTGACACCACCCGGAGTTCACGCTTTCACCCCGGCAGCGTCCAGGACGAGCAACTGGATCGTGGTGGCGACTCACAGGAGCAACACCACGTCGCGGCACATCGAGCTCTTCGATCTCTCCAAAGGATCGTTTCTTCCCGTCACCTTGGAACTCCACCCCGAGCTCCACCACTTCAATCCTTTCGTGTCCGCCACCTCGGACACTCTCATCGGCTACCATCGCTGCCGCAACGATGGATCCATCGTCCCAACGCTGGAACACGTCGCTTGCCCCGCGAACAACGACATCACTCTCGTCCGGATCGATGGCGCGTTTCCATCCATCTCCAGCGACGGAGCTCTCATCGCCTACAACACCGACTTCGAGGCCAGCGATTCCGGAGTGATGGTGGCCAAGCTCGACGGATCAAACCGGAAGAGGATCCTCACAGGCCTGGCCTTCACGACGTGCTGGAACCCATGCAAGCCTGGGACGATCTACACCAGCGTCGGCCACATCTTCGCGGAGGAGCGAGCGATGGTTCACATCGTCTCGCTCACTTTCGACGTCACAGCGCTCGAGGATCACTCCAGTTCTTCGAGTTCTACGCTGGAATCCAGCGTCAAAGTTCTCAGCAAGCCGGGAACCAACAACAACGCGTTCCCGAGCTGCTCCCCGGATGGCAAGAACCTGGTGTTTCGATCCGGGCGCTCGGGCCACAAGAACCTTTACATCATGGACGCGGAGCTCGGCGAAGATGGTGGAATCCGAGCTCTCACCGAGGGTCCCTGGGTGGACACCATGCCGTGCTGGTCGCCGGATGGAAACTGGATCGCTTTCTCCTCCTCGAGAGACGGTCCCTCCAACGAGTTCTTCGCCATCTATCTCGTCCACCCCGATGGATCTGAGCTCCACCGAGTTTTCCCGGAGAGCTCCACGAGAGGCCGATGCAACCACGTTTGCTTCAGCCCGGACTCTCAAACGCTGCTCTTCACGGCTGACTGTGGTGGGATCTCGGCCGAGCCAGTGTCCCTGGCTAACCAGTTCCAGCCTTACGGAGAGCTCTTCTCGTGCAAGCTTGATGGATCCGAGCTCCGGCGATGGACTCACAACGCGTACGAGGATGGAACGCCTTGCTGGGGGCCTCTACGCCTTGATCCTTCCTCCATCTCCAAGCAAGGCCAGGAACTTCACGCAAACTTCCAGGATTGTCTCTGGTTGAGCGCCGTGACTGAGAAGATGAAGCAGTACGCTGCTGCGTAGCGTTCTCTCTTGCGATTGACAATAACTTGGCATCCTCCATCGCCAAGAGCTTGGTTTATCGTATTGGATACTTGCATGAACAAGACCCATGGCTGAACTGATGAAAGCTTCGATCGTCCCTGAGCGTGATCACCCTGTCCGCCACCTCGGAGATGCACTTGATCACCTCGTGGCAGTCTTGGCACACGCCGATGTTCTTGACGATCCTCAGGGGCGTCCCCTCGGGTGTGGAGATCAATCCAAACACCACCGCCACCTTCTCGCTGTGGTACGACAACAAGAACTTCTTCTCTTGCTCGCCGTGATCGTGCACCTTCTTGATCGGATCCCGCTCGTACCCGGCCTTCCGGATCTCCACGCACAGCCTCTCGAGCTCCGCAAAGATCTCCTCCTCCCTCGGAAGAAGACGATCGTCACCCGCGAAGAACTCGTACACCCGGTTGTTGATCTCGATCCAGCTACACCCCGGCTGCGTGATGAACCCCCGCTCCACCAAGCTCTGCCGCGCGTTCCTCACGTCGTCCCACTTCCGGCTCAGGCAAAACACGCTGGCGAGGAGCGAGTACGCGGAGCCGGATCTCAAGCTCGCCAGCCGCGCCGCCACCCTGCGAGCTCGTTCCAGATCGCCATACGTCCTACAAGCGCTGAGCAGCGTCATCCACGTCGAGTGATGCGCTCCCAGCGGCGCCCTCCTCATGAGCGCCTCGGCCTCGCGGATCCACCCCGCGCGGCTCAGCAGATCCACCAGGCACGCAAAGTGTGCCTCGGTGGGAGCGATGCCGTGGTCGTGGCGTAGCGACGTGAAGAACGCGACCGCCTCCCGGACGAGGCCCGAGTGGCTACACCCCGCGATGGCGCTCACGAAGCTCACGCTGTCCGGCTTGACGCCCTCCTGCTGCATCGAGTAGAAGCAGCGCAGCGCCTCCTCGGAGAGCCCGAACTGCGAGTACGCCGCCACCATCGCGCTCCAGGCCACCACGTCGCTCGCTCGCGCGCGCCGGGCCTTCGCAAACTCGGCCTTCGCATCTGCCAAGCTCCCACACTTCGCGTACATGTTGATCACCGAGGTGGTGAGAAGATCCGCGCTCGCGACCGCTTGACGATCGAAGAGCCCACGCTCGAGCATCCGGGAGTGCGTCAGGCGGCCGAGTCCCAGCGCCGCCAGGCTCGCGCAGGCGTCCAGGATCGAGAGGAACGTCACCGCGTCCGGGGCCACGCCTTGCAAGCTCATCCTCGCGAAGATGCCGAGCGTCTCCTTGCCTTGATCGCGAAGAACGTAGGCCGCGAGGAGCGCGTTCCACACCGTCACGTCCCGGACGTCGCTCATTCGATCGAAGGCTCGCCTGGCCGCGTCTGGATTGCCGCACTTGCCATACATGTCCACCAGCGCGGTCTGGAGGACGGGGTCGAGCTCTATCCCGCTCTCCGCGAGGCGGTCGTGGATCTCCTCGCCGAGTGCTAGCGCTTCCGAGCTCGCCCGAGCCTCGTCCTTGCCGGAACCAGCGATCGCAACGCACGACTCGAGGAGGTTGACGAAGGTGAAGCTGTCGAGCTTAACGCCTTCGTGGTCCATCCTCTTGATCACCGCGATCGCTCGCTTGCCATGGCCGTGCCGCGCGTACGCTGCTAGCAAAGTCGTCCAGGAGATCTTGTCTCTCGTCTCGATCCCTTCCAGCGCATGCCTCGCAGCTCGGAGCTTCCCACACTTGCCATACAGGTTGACGAGCGCATTCGCCACGGTGTTGTCCGACTCCAATCCCTCGCCAGCGACAATCTCATGGACGATCCGGCCCCGGACGATCGATTGCATCCACGCGCAGGCATCGATCACGCTCACGAGAGTGATCTTGTTCGGCCGCAGCCCATCCAAGTCCATCTCCCCGAGCAAAGCGAACGCTTCCTTGTAGCGATCGTGTCTGGAGCAAGCCGCGATCATCGTGTTCCAAGTCACCGCGTTCTTCGCCTCCATCCTCTCGAACACCTCCCTCGCGAGATCCACCTCGCCACACTTCCCATACATGTTGACGATCGTGTTGCCGAGGATCACATCGTCGCCAAGGAGCCCATCCGCGACGATCCTCTCGTGGATCGACTTGCCCAGCGCGATCGCCCTCATGCTCGCGCACGCATCCAGGACGCTCACGAAGGTGATCGCGTTGGCCTTGACGCCTTCGTGATCCATGCGCACGAAGAGCTCCAAAGCATCGCCCGGATGCCCACGCTGGGCATACGCTGCGATCATCGCACTCCACGACACAACATTCCTCACGACCATCGCATCGAAAGCTCTCCTCGCGTGGCTCACACTACCGCATCGATTGTACATGGTGAGCACCGCGGTCGCCACCACAACGTCGGATCCAAGCCCGGACGCCTCGCAAACCGTACGGTGGAAGAACTCCCCCTGCGACAAATCCCCCAGGCTCGCGAATGCGTCGAGGATGGCGATGCACGATACTCTATCCGGCGCCACGCCCTCGAGCGCCATCGCCCGGAAGATCTCCAGAGCCCGGGCGTGATGCCCATTCCGGGCATACTCCGCGATCGCGAGATTCCAGGAGAAGGGGCTCCTGTCAGCCATTGCGGCAGCGTCGCCATAGATTTCTACAGTGAGATTCTCCACTGGCGGGCCGGCAATCTGGGCGTGGACGATCTTGGAGCTCCCCAGCAGTGCCGCGCGCTCGTAATCGCTGGCTGGGAGTGGATTGCCTTGCTCGTGGTAGCCCTGGCTATGGATCCACAAGCATTGGAGCCTGCCCTTGCCTCTCTGGCATTGGCGCAACATGAATGAGACGACATGATCCTCTCGGGGCGAGTTTTAGGGTTTTTCGAGGATGGGTTGATTTGGGCGGGAACGCGATGGCTTCGTGCCCGGCAAGATCAGCGCCAATCCATCCCATCGACAAGGCATCGATTCACAGGATCTGCTCCGGCCAGGTGATTCTAGATCTTGCCACCGCCGTCAAGGAGCTCGTCGAGAACAGCCTCGATGCTGGCGCCACCAGCATTGAGGTCAAGCTCAAGGAGCACGGAGGGGATGCGATTGAGGTCTCGGACAATGGGTCTGGCGTCTCCTCCGATAACTACCAGGTCTTCTTTCTTTCTCTTGATCTCTTTGTTCTTCGCAAGTTCTCAAGTGATTTTTTTTGCATTTTTTTCAGGGACTTACGCTCAAGTATCACACGTCGAAACTCTCAGATTTTTCCGACTTGCAGTCTTTGACGTCGTTTGGATTTCGCGGGGAGGCTTTGAGCTCCCTCTGCTCGCTGGCCGACGTAAGTATTCATACAAGGACCAAAGAGGACGAAACGGGAACTCGTATATCTTACAACCGCGCTGGTCTCATCGTTTCTAAAGAGACTGCCGCTCGCCAAGTCGGGACTACTGTGACCGTCTCAAAGCTGTTCAGTCCGCTCCCCGTGCGGCACAAGGAGTTTTTGCGAAACGTGAGGCGGGAGTACAGCCGCATGATCGCCATTTTGCAAGTAAGGATCGAGTTTCCTTGTCTTTTTTTCGATGTTTTCATCGCTTCTTTTGACAGGCTTATGCACTGATTTCCAAAAACGTTCGCCTGGTGTGCACGAACTTGGTTGGCAAAAGCAGTCGCTCCACGATTCTACGCACACAGGGTGGCTCTGTCAGGGAAAACATCGTCACCATCTTTGGTCCCAAGACGATGGCGTGCTTGGATCCTGTGGACATCAGCTTGCCCGAGGACTTAAGCATCGAAGGCTTCGTTTCGAAGCCGGGGTCCGGCTCTGGCAGAGGATCGAGCGACCGCCAGTTTTTCTTCGTCAATGGACGACCGGTGGACTTGCCAAAGTTTAGCAAGCTGCTAAACGAGCTCTATAAATCTTTTAACTCACAGCAGTACCCGATGGCTGTGCTCAACTTTCGGCTTCCAACAACAGCGTACGACGTGAATGTAACTCCGGACAAACGCAAGCTCTTTCTTCACTCGGAAAGCTCGTTCATGGACGGTCTTAGGAACGCTCTTGGTAACTTATACGCTCCCAACAAGTACACGTACGCGGTCCATGAGGTGGAGGAGCAGAAGTCCTATATGGCGGACTTGCAAACTCAGGTAGATATCGAGGCTGGAGTTGAAGAAGTTGGAGCTAGTGATGAAGAACAGAATGAAGATGAAGATGACGAAGCGGAGCCAGAAGTTTCGAAGCCTCTGGACTTCTTCGCTTTTTCTCATGAGGATGTGAGCATCAAAACATCTGTGAGGCCGGCCAGGGTGGCACTTGCGGATAAGAAATGTTCCGTCCAGGGGAAGCTGACTGGATTTGTTCCGCAAAAAAGAAGAACTGAAGACTCCAAAGAGCTGCTTAGTGAAGAACCAGTGCTCAAGAGACGCGCAACGACGATGGAACTCAAAGCTCCTCCAAATGCTTTTCCGAAGGAGAAAAACTTCGAGACTGCTAGACCGGCTGATCACTCGTCGAATCCACAGAATAGATCGGCGACAGATGGTGAGGCTCTTGGTGAAGAATGTGGAGGCCTTCTAAGTGAAGCGCCATTGCTGAAGAAGTGTGCAAAGGTGGGACTTGTGCCGAAGTACTTTGCTCCCAAACAACAGGACTCTTCTGTGCAATGTCCGAAGCCTGGTCGAATCAGCGAGCTGCCGAAAAATCCTGTTACTCTTGAATCTGACGACGATGAGGAGGATTCCAGACCTTCCGAAGTTCAGGTACGTGATGTCCATCTTTTTTGCGGTTGTTTTGTAACTTGGTTTTCTTGAAGGTTTTGCATACTAAGGATCAAGATAAGTCGCCCGAGCCTCCTCATACTCCCGCTGAAAAGGCGAAATGTTGCAGCGGGACTAGATATAAGCGCGATAGCTTGTTATCCGAGGAGGTGAATCCCGTAGCATCCACGGAAATCCGAGAGGTCGAAGATGACGAAACCGAAAAAAGCATGGACAGGGCCGAAGCGTGTGCGAGAGAACTTAGCTTCGATATTGAGAAAGTGCGGAGCAGGATACGAAGAGGTTTGTTTCAATACAACAAAAACTTCTCCGCCAAAAGTGCGAAAGGAAGGTAAGGTGTTAGTATTTCTTACACACATCATGATGTGATATTTCGTGAACAGGTCCTTCAAAGCGGCCACTTTAAGTCTCGAAGGCCCAGTTCAAGATAAAGAGGCAGCGTTGGCCTCAGCAACGAAAGAACTCGAGCGCTCTTTTCGGAAAGGCGATTTTAATCGCATGAAGGTAGTAGTAGTAGTACGCTTTGCAAGTTTTATCTCCTTACGATACAACTCTTGACAGATACTTGGTCAGTTCAACCTTGGATTTATTATTGCGAGGCTGGACTCTGATTTGTTTATTATCGATCAGGTAACTTAATATCAAGTTTCTTTCTCTGGATCAAAGCGTTTTCATTATTTTCAATTCCGTTTAGCATGCGTCTGACGAAAAGTATAACTTTGAGCGGTTGTCCAAGTCCACAGTCTTAAACCGGCAACCTCTTCTCAGGTGTGACCTTCACTTTGTATTCATTGTTTTTTTATAACTCGTGTTTTTCTACAGGCCAATGCCGCTACATTTATCTTCAGCGGAGGAAATCACCATCTCGACACACATGGAAGTATTCAGGTGCACGAGGAAACAAACAGGAAATCTAAACAAATGCTCGAATTTTTCCATGACAGGCAAAATGGCTTCGATTTTACTGAGCAAGAGGACGCGCCTCCCGGGCAAAGGATTCTCTTGTCTGCCGTCCCATTCAGCAAAAATGTTACCTTTGGCGTCTCAGGTAAACTTAGAACGCCGATATACCAATCTTTGTTTTTCTTTTCTGCTAGATGTCCAAGAGCTAGTGTCGCTCTTATCGGAAGATTATGGGAGCAGCTCCTCCCATCTCGTCCAGCCATCGCGGGTGCGCTCAATGCTCGCTTCACGCGCCTGCCGGTCGTCGATTATGATCGGCGATGCCTTGAGTAAGAAAGAAATGGAAAAGGTCAGTGCACAATTTCGAGAGAACTAAAGTTCACATATTTTTGTGTGCTTTGTGTCCAAAGGTTGTGAGGCATCTTGCAGACTTGGACGCGCCTTGGAACTGTCCGCATGGACGTCCCACCATGCGGCATCTGTATGATCTAAACGCCAAGAAAAAGGCCTTGCTGTCACCGTGATAACCTGTAAGTTATGTACAAAGCTCCATTTTGCAAGTAACCATAGTCTTATTTCATCGCTAGTTTTGATAATTCTCGAATTCTCAGGAGATCACAGCTGCAAATGGCTAATAGAAGGTTTGCGATTATAAAAGGACTCTCTTCTCGAGTAAACTTACATATGTCAGAGATATAAATCTATGAATCTTCTCTTCCAGATGTGCAAGAATAAGTGTCGCTTCATGGACGTCGCACCATTGTATGGTCTAACGAAGGCTTCGTTGTCACGGTGATATATCGTAAGTTGTATGGTTTTTCCTGTACAGGCACGTAGAATGCCACTTACACCGATTTATATTTTTTTTGTTTTTGTTAGCAAGCGGGCACTAAATTCTTAAGAGACGAGATTTATAAACAAAGCATCACCTTCCATGGAAACAATTCAGTATGGAATGGTACCCAGGCCTTCTCCATCGTGAATCAGGCTCTCGGTAAGCCAGTAGCCATCCCAGCTCCCTCCAACCATCTGGAAAACTTTCGGGTTAAGCTTTGAGAAGCATTGAAGAAAAACCAGTCACCTGGACGAGAGTAAACTCGAAAGTCCCCTCTTCGTCAGGACGAGCACCCTGGATCCATATTCTCTCCTTAAGCGAATGCTGCAAAGCAAAAGAATCTTCATCATAAGAAGCGAAAGAGAAGCCATACCTCTGACACTCGTAAGCTACTCAATGTGCGTCTCTCCTTGTGACCGAGGAGCACTCTGTAAGTTTGATGATGATAAATGCGTCTAAATCTTTCAAACTATATCGTGAAAGTCAAGAGCAAAGCCAAATGGATTCCATGATCTTTCATACTCACTTGTCCTAGATCCAGGTACCGGCCGAAGTAATTTGAGCGGCTGAATGGATCGAAAGCAGCAAACTGGCCATCCAAGAAAAGAAAAACGATCAAGAAAGAAATAGAAGCGAGCAAAACACAATTCTACCCGATACATGACTTCGATTCCGTGATCAGGGTATGGGCGATCGTTCTCTTGGAGAGCATCCAGCTGCTGGAGTATCGTGTCTTCCGCCGTTAACTACACAGAAAGAAAATCCTCATAATGGATCGAAAATTCACGAAAGCTTACTGCTAGAGTCGGTCCGAGGGGCTTCTTTAGCCGTGATTCACCCCTGGATAGCGATTAAGAACAAGAAGATCCTACAGGAAGCTCTAGAAGACTCACCACGTCGCGGGAAGAAAATCTGGCACATCCATTTTGGAAATCACTCGGCCAAGGCGCTGGCGCCTGGGGAATTGCTGCCGCTGCCATGGCACCGCTGGGGGATAGATCGAAGAGCTCAAGTGATCGATGGAACCTAGAAATCTAGCGCCTATTTCCAAAGCCGCCATTCAAATAACTAGACTACGTTTCCCCCTTGTAGAGTCCACGCTGGCTTTAAAACTAGTGGCTGTAATGTAATGCTTTTAAAATATTTTAGGGCTCTAGCGAGCGATGGCTCCACCTCCTCGCAAGGCGCAAATCTCACAGGAGGCATTCGACGCCGCGGTGCGAGAGAATGTGGAAGATTTTGAGATGGAGGAGGGTGAGGCGATCGCTGATGCGGTGCACACATTCCAGCTACAAGGCGTCGATCTCACAGGTGCGTGTGTGCTGAGCTCTACCTTTCTCTGTTAGTCGATGTTGATCTATCTTGACGATCCGGCAGGGATTATCACCGACGGGCGCGGCAAAGAAGAGCATCCTGTGATCCTAGCGGTCAAAGACCTGAAACTGGCCGTGGACGACAATGCTGGTATGGATCGTCTCTGCGAAGCGCTCGATAAGCTGAGGCTGGCCTCTGCCGGTGAGAACGCTTCCATTGCGGTGAGAAATGGCGCTGTTGAGAATGCTGTGTTGGCTTGCAAGCTTTTGATTGATGAAAACAACGCTTCATACGTTTCCACAGCGATGAAGACGCTTCTCTCTCTCTTGAATGGTAAGCTGACCAAACAGAATATGTCTGGTGCTGGTTTCTAACGAGCCATCTTTTTCTTTCGTTTTTTTGTCTTCCAGACGAGCAGTCCAAGAAGGATTTCTTCTCCTCCAGTGGATGTGATGTGATCCTAAATTTTCTATCGAGACACGATGACTCCAGTGAGATTTCAATGCTCTCAGCAGCAGTGATCGCGTCATCAGCATCAGGATCCGAGATGCTTAAGGAGGAGTTCATGCATTTAAAAGCGGATGAGAAGCTTATAAAAATTCTGAGGCGCTACGTAGAGAATGCTGAAGTACTAAGCAGTGCTTGTGACGCGTTGAAAGCATTGGTGTCTCCCGACGATAGTAACGTGTTAGCTTCAAACGTAAGCAGCAGTTAGATTGATTCTTCACTCAAATTTTTTGGTACTGTCTATTCTACAGGCCTTTAAAAACGCCAGAACAATATGGAAAGCAGGAGGTGTGAACGCTGTTTTGGAGACGGCTTCATCCAACCGAAAAGATCCTACACTGTTGGTGACACTTTGTGCGACATTGAAAGCTATGGCAGTGAATGTACGTATCATTTTTGTGAACTCTACCATTTCTAGACTCAAGTTCTATGTATCAACAGGAAGAGATCTGTAAATCAATCACGGGGGATAATGGACTTGAGCTAACTTTGGAGTTCGTGGACGAATCTGCAAAAATGCCAAACAAGCTCTTGGCTAAGAATGCGTGCTCACTGATAACGCAGGTGAGACTACAATTTTTGTCCGGTACAGTCTAAGTCGGTTGCTGATGGATTTTTGTCCCGGGTGGCAGCTGGCATTAAGTGATGCCAACAAAGATGCCATTGTTTTGCAAGGAGGATGTCAAAAACTCGTTACGCTAGCTTCGTGCTATTCAGAAGACGTTTCGGTGATTCAAGAGGTATTTGAAAAAACTGCCTGCGTAAATTAGAAAGCTCTGACCGTGCCCTCTGGCAGGTGATGTCTGCTATTGCTTCCATAACGTTGAGATCCCCTTCAAATGCTACCAAAGCAGTCGAGGCTGGCGCGATTGACTTAGCGGTGGAGATGATGGACAAGCACCCGCAGGCCCCAGGCATGCAAAAGCAAACGTGTCACATGCTGCGAAATCTAGCGTCACGGAATCCCGAGAACAGGCAATGCATTTTTTTGTCTCCCACCTTCGTGCATGTTTCTCACTTATATTCTTTTGCTTGTCAGGGCGCTGATACTGGAAAGGGGCCTTGAGAAGCTGATAAGAGCAGCCAAATCCAGGCATGCCAGCTGCAAAGACGCATCCTCTGCTGCGTTGCGAGACCTGGGCCTGGACAATTACAATTAGAGAAAGAGGTACATGCATTACGGCAAACGCGCCGACTGATCAAAACGCTTAACGTGAGTCTGTCGTTGTTGAGTGTAGATGGGCAAAGTAGACAAACAGATTCTTAGCGTTCCACATCAACCGGTCGAGGAGAAGATGAGAAAATTCCGCCAGGAAGCATCTCCGCGGGAGGGGTGCGTCAAACACCAACAACTTGGACGGACGTATGTCAACTCGACTCCCGTGTCCAACACTTTGGCGGGGAAAAGGCGGGTGGACGGAGCTACTAGACAAAAGCCGCAACACCAAAGCAACACGAAAAGGCTGAGGAGGTAAATAAGAGAGGGGAAGAGCAAGAAGATCCCAACCAAGACAAGCTAACCATGGATAGATGGATGGACCACACAAAAAGTTCGCCGCAGTGACGTGCGAAGGCCCCCCCCTGACCCCAACAGGTAAATGTGTGGGACTGGGAGAACAACACAGCGACAACGAACTCGCCGCTCGCACGCACGTACACGTACGCATCGCCTCAACTTGTCCTCCCCGGCCGGAACCACTCAATCTAGATGGATTTGAACCAGCAACCACCGGATCGATTGAGTGATGGAGATGAACAATTGCCTCACCGCAGCAGCAATCCGTGAGTTAACGCTGGTTTAGTTTCATCTTTCCTGCTTTTAAATACGTTTTTGCGTTGCAGAGCATTCAATGGCGCTTTCTTTTTTCTCGCGGCCCGATTGCGATGTCGAGAAAGGAGCTGCCGAGCGAGAAAGCGCTCTCATCCTCACCCAGCTCGCTCAGCAAAAACGCAATCCAGGCCAGCGACCATCAACGATCGAGACGACAACACTATCAGCACCTTTACAGCGCTGCCGAGCGACCTTTACGTCTATCTCGCGCACACACAAACACACCGGCTCAAATTATGCGGACAAGAGACCACTTAAACCTCCATCCCCAACTGTGACTTCTCCGGCACCAATCTCGCGCGCAGCACGGCTCTCATCATCATAAATCAGCTCTACTTTCAATGGTAGTTGGCAGCAGCTGACAGGTCGGTCTTTCTTGCCGCAAAAAATTCTCCTATGCTTGTTTACTAATCCTTCTCTCGTTTTTCTTTTCCAGAGATTCTGTGCGCTATCTATGATCACCAACATCAACGCCACCCCACGCAATTATCGCTGCCATCCCAAAAGAGCGACTCGCTGCCCTGCCCGGACGACTCTGCTAGAACAGACTGCCAAAAGCAACAAAGACGCAGAGGAAGAGGAGTGAATCAAACGAATGCCTCATTGCTTGCTTGGCATTGCAGCACTGCTCCATCCAGGTATATTGGCTCTCTAGAAAACCACCTCTCTTTTTTCCCGGCTCCTCTCCATTGATTTAATGTTCGTTTGTGTGTGGGCGGGCAGAGCCTCCGGACAGTATATAGTTCCTTTTAGCCCCGCCTTGACCAGCCTTGACCGGCCTTGACCCAGAGCTTTTGCAATTAAAGCTCTGCCAGATGCCATGCCCGCAGCCAGACAGAGCGCGCCCAGCCCCTCATTTAAGATTCCTCCATCTCATCAAAGCCCTGGCGCTGCTCTTCGTCATCATCCTCCTCGTCTCCTCTTTCGCCACCACCGCCACCACCAGCGCCGCCGCCGCCGCCATTCTCCTCCCGGTCCTCCCAGTCCGGCACCGGCGTACAGTCGCACTTGTGCCGTATTTTCCAGTCCAAGGCCTGGCACGCCCTCGAGCAATAATTTACCGAGCCGCAGGCCGAGCAACGCCGGAACTCGTGCCGCCGCGACTCGGGCCGCCCACAGTTGGAGTGCGAGCACAGGCGGAGCCCCGACTCGGGCGGCTTGGCCACGAACCAATCGACCATGAACCGGTTTGCTACGTGCAGCTTGGGCGGAGGAACGTTGCAGCCAAAGTCACTGAGTAGCGAGCACCCCCCGCTCTGGAGCAGTGTGTACACCGGGTGGCACTCGATCGCCGATACTGTTGCTGCTGCTGCTGGCGTCGATGGTGGTGACGAGCAAGACAATCCTCCTCCTGAGTTACTCGTAATTGGCGACAAGAGCATCGATCGTTGGTGCTGTTGGTGATGATGCTGGTGGAGTTGGGTCCTCTCGGATTGCTGCTGGTGATGATGATGATGATGATGATGATCCTGGGATTGCTGGAGCAAAGGCGACGACGAGGACGATTTGGCCAGCGCGCCTTTGCCAAGGACGGCGTAGTAATGCAGGTGGTGGTGGAGGCATGCCATGGCACCGCCCTTGGCAGTGAGGTGGAGCGCCGCCTCCATGAAGCGGCGTGGCGACTGCGCCACCGCCGCCGCCGCCTCCCTGGTGTTGGCCTCGAGCAGCAGTCCCCTCCCCTTGACCACGTTCTGGGCGACGCCATAGCCGTCCTGCAGGCAGTGGCCGAGCTCGCGCATTGCATCGACGTGACCCAGCGACGCCGCCCTCGCGCACAACGCAACGCCCGCCTTGAGGTCCTTGTCCTTCCTGCTTCCCCCGCTGCCATTGAATTGGATAACCGCTAAGGAGTGGAGCGCCGCCGCGTGGGACGCCATCGCCGCCTTGGCCATGAGGGAGGCGCCGCCGCCTCTGTTATGGAGGCAGTAGAATCGAATCTGGAATAGAGAGGAAGTCACCGAGTGAGTTTCTTCGTCGTGGAACTAAAGAAAAGGCGAGGAAAAATGGGATAACTGTCCATAAGGGAGGAAAAAGTAAAGACTTTGAGATCGCTGTAAGAGCGCGGAAAAGGGAAAAAAAAAAAAAAAAAACGCGAGAAAACGCATCGTAACGTTATCCATCGAGCAGGGAAAAACCAAACGAAACTGGAAAGGAATGAGTGATGCGATGGATTGAGCAGGAGCTTACCATTCCCAGTGTGTAACAAGCCTCGATGTTGCCAGCGTCGGCGCACTGCTTGAGGAAGCGCGACGATCCATCAGACCAGCTCGATGCTTTCACGGCCAGCGCGGCAGTGGATGCGTTGGCCAGGACGTGGGGATTCGTGGCGGCCGCGCAGAATCTCCGGCAGCTGGAAGGGACGAACACGCGAAAGGAAAAAAATCAGTCCTTGAACAATAAGGGAGTGGCGAAATGGAACTTACGTGAGCATGGTGTTGACGAGATCGGCCGGCGACGACGCCGTGGAGCTCACCGCCGTGATGATCGTGATGAGCACGTCGTCGTGCAGGGAATCGAAGAAGCACGGCGCTCGAGCGGCTTTCGCTGGCCGGTGGGATGTGCCGCTCGGCAGCCGCCGCTTCTGGACGCTGGGCTTGATGCTGAAAGTGATCCCATCGGAAGGAGAGGGATAGTTCCCCCGCCGAGTCCTCATCCCCTCTCTCTCTCTCTCTCGCAAGATCGCTCGAAATATTTCTCTTCTTGGGAGAAAAAGATCGAGCGCAGAATAGAAAGAGAGGAGGATTGGATTGCGAATTCCCGGATCTTTTGACCAATGGAAGCGCCTGGGGGATTGACCTGGGAAGAAAGAAGAAGAAAACAAGCGCCCCGGGCGACGATCTTTCCAAGGCGTCGGGCAATCCGACGCCGAATGCTTGCAAAATCTTCCTCCTGCTACCTTTGCTAACACGGCAGCATCGATCGAGATCGATCGAGAATCTGCCGCCAGGCGCGCTATCGAGCTCTCCCTCTTCCTGTGAGCTCTCCGCCAAGCCCTAGCGCCCAGCCAGGCGGCTTTAAGGGAAGAAAACAAAGCAAGGAAAAGAAAAGGAGAGAGACGAACAAGGAATGAATATACAAAATATATGGCGCCATGGGCACGCACGAGGCAGCACATTCCGTAGCAGAATGGCCCCCTCCCTCGCCCACGCACGTCCACATTCTCAAAAGAGAATGTCCTCCCGATTGGGGGCACCGCGGTGATGGACGGCCGCGATCACCCGTGGCATTACGGGGCCGGTCAAAACCTCACGGAGCACGTGGACGGCGGGAATCTCTCACCGCCGCACGCGGCTTACCGCGGCCACCGCGCGGTAGCCGCGGTAGGCTTCAAATCGCTATCTGGGTTCCATCGTTTATCTTCTTTTTGCCCTTTTCTTTGCGTATGGATCTCAAGCTCTAGACCTCGTGGTCTTGACATGAATAATACCAACGAAATTTTTATAAGGTTTCAAACGTTTAAAGTATGGCCGAATATTTTACTTTCCAAGGGTGGTGCACTCAATCCACCACTTGAGGGGGAAACTTGCACACAAAACCAAGAAAAACTCGCTCGAGCTTTATAACTTGAGCCCTACGCAGAGTGGCGCGTGGTTTTCTTTCAGACAATGGACACACAGAGGAAAACAATAAGAACCATCCCCGGCGGCTTCTAGAATCTCGCATGATTTCCAATCCCTTCGTTTCGTCCAAGCGCACTGTTAGTGCTGTGGCTTGGCGGCTTTGCTTTGGGTTTGTTCAAGGAATCACTCTCCTCTACGTAAAGAGAGAATGCGGTCAATTCAGACGGATTGAATCGTCCAAAGAGGCGGGCTGCCAAGTGACCGTATAGAAATTCTTGAGTCTCTCGATTGACTGGGTGTGATCTTTGTTCGTTGACAAGCAACATTTTTGGTCTCGTCCAATGCTTTGACACCGCGCTTTGATTTTTAGATCTTTTCTATACAAGCGGCAAAGAGAGATTGACCCAATCAAGGGATTATAATCTTTGTATCATCGAGCGCGGATTTTACTAACAACCTTGTGGAATCTTGAAACCCTAGACGTTGGAGGCAAGGGGTGGCGCAATTATGGTCCATCTGGCAACCCTGGCAAGATTTAGGGACAGTTCTCCAGGCTAGGGACAGAGTCCTACACTCAACACACCCCTTCCTACGTCACGCCGCAATAATGGGCGCCCGCCGGCGGTTACCCTGCCCCGCCGGCCGGGCAACGGCGGTTACGCTGCCTGCCGGCCGAGAACCGCGGAACGGGCCGGCTGGTGCGACACGTGGCATAGCTCCCCGGGCCGGGCGGGTCAAACCTCCGCCCCAGGGGGCACTGCCCCCGTACTGCATCATTGGGCCGCCGCCGCGCCGTACGACACTGACCGTTGGGAATCTCGGGCCGAATATCCCGCCCGGTTTGAAAAGAAAGCCGGGTTTAATGGGTGGGCCGCGGGTTGGACCCCGCTAAAAGGAATCAGCGTCAAGGCCACGAAGATGTCACGTCTTTGGGATTAAAATCCTTACTAAACTCCGAGCTTTGCTTGCTCGTTCCTTTTAGATCTCTCTGCTTTTTCTTTTTTGTTCTTTGTATAGGCTACGTAGCTTTCGATATTGACTTTAGCAACAGGAAGAGCAACTCTTGACGATTTGTTTAAGTCTCGTTTGTTTGGCCTTAGTGATCTCTTCGTATTCCTTCACGAATGTGGAAATAGCTCGCTGTCGTTTTTGTTAAGGCCAGCCATATGATTTAAATCATCATCGCTATCATGGTCACTACACCCTAGGATACGAGAGCTTTTCGGAATAGCTTATAGGTGGCCTCTCCTCATGAGGCCTCGTATGTATAGTTTCTCTCGTTTTTCTAGCTTTGACTTGAGATGGATCATACTACACTCCACCATATCTTTACTCGTTTCCAGCTCAGGACCTGTGTGTGCGTTGCTTCCACTTACTCACTCCACTAATGGGATCCACGAGATTGTGATCTCTTGCACTACGCAAAGGCGAAACGGACTTTGGAAAGTTTCTTAGATTCCCATTCTCTCCTGTTGAAAGTTTACAAACCAATGTGCAGAGGTTGTGTAAAAGAGAACGAACAAGAAGGAACGGAAGAATACACTCGCTACCTGCAAAATAGTGTCGTTGAGGACCCTCTTTTGCTTAGCGAGGCCCAGCTGGAGCTGCCTGTGGACCAGATCGACCACCAAACCCCGCCTTTGCAGCTTTAGACTGGAGAAGTAGCTCGTCGTAGTTCTAAAAGCAAACAAAACAAAAACAAGAACACGAGTGAGCAAGCGATGGGCTCGGGTGAGTTAACTTTGGTTACCTTGGCATCCATCAGAACGTCCGGTTCTTCAATCACTTTGTCGGCCAGACCATACTCGACAGCTTCTTTGGCCTTGAAGTACTTGGGACGTTGGATATCTTTAGCAATTTCTTCTTCCGGCTTGCCCGTTCCCTTCGCCAACAAGTCAATGTAGTACTTCGTGTTGGAGTCCAATTCCTTCGCCTGGAAAACAACGAAGAAAAGAGAAAAACAAAACGACTTCAGAAGGTTCTGCATGCATGTCGAGAACAAGCAACAACCTTGATGAACATGTCTATGGCCGACCCGCTCGATTGATTAACTTTGGGAGCGTAGAGCTTGGCTGCACAGAGTCAGCGGACGTCGTGTGAGGAATTCCAAACTACAAAAGTCAAATGGAAGCACTCACTGGAGGAGCTGGGCTGTACTGCACGGAAGCCTTTTTCACCCACTGAGAGAAGCATCGCTGCTTGACCGAATGCCATTCCACAGTTTACCGTGTAAACTTTGGACTTCACGTACTGCATGATCAAACATCCAGAAGAATATTAAATACCCTAGGAAAGAAGAAGAAAGCGACATGAGAATCTCACCGACATAGTATCAGCAATCGCATAAGCTTCTGTTTCGAAACCAACGCTTTCCTTCTTCTCATTCTGGATCCATAGCAAAGTAAACACCAAGGACAAACAGGAAAAAAGATAGTTACCTGCGTGCCAGAGCAGTTTATATACAAGTAGATCGGTTTGCTAGGATTATCGAAGTCCAGGAAAAGCATCTCCGCGACTATTAGCTCAGTCACAGCTGGTACTATCTGAAGAAAACGAAAAAAGAAAAGAGATGAAGCTTTCACTTGAGAAAACACCACATCACAAAACTCACGGCCATTCCCAAGTAAACGATTCGGGCATCTAGGAGAAGAGATGGCAAGTCAGGCGGCGCAGATTTTGGTCGCATGAGTCCTCCACCACCACCACCACGGTACATGTTCACGCTCATGCTTAGCCTCGAAGCTCCACCTTGGAAAGAAGCAGGACTCCATACACCAGAGCCATCTCGATAGTGGGCTTTGGATGTTATTGATTCCTGGAAAAATCCACGCTTTCCATCAATTCCAGTCGCGAAAGTTATGCAAACAAACCTCTGTGAGTTCTTTGGATTTTTTCGTGAAAGGATTATCGTCGACGAGGAACATATCCATCTGAGCGGGAGTGAGGCCGTATAAACTTTGAGGAACGTTCTTGAAATTATCCATCACTGCAACAAAGAAAGTCATGAGAACAAAAACTCAAAGAACGAAGAAATATCACTATGAGAGATACTATGAGAGAAGAATTCAATCCATTCACGCCACTTACGTCCGTCTTGAAGATTATCTTCGTGAAATCGCTTAGGAATGTGATCCATGGACGCGCTTGCAATCGCCGGAAACCTCGACGAGCTCGCGGCGAGGCGCAATCGCGGCGGCTCGAATCTTCCAACAAACGGAGACATACCCGATGCGAGCTGCTGATTGTGCTGCCTTTGTGACGTTGCGCTTCCACAAATCCCACACCTGGAGCTCCATGGCGCTGGAACCCTCGTCGCCATAGCCATTCTCGTAGAGGGAGGAAGAACAAATATTAGCTGTTGATGGGAATCGAACCGGGGAGCCAAGTCATTTCAAATTTGCCCTAATCTGGGAAGCTAAGCTAGGGGATGGCGGCGGCAGTGGCATCATCGCCTTCGCCCTCGCCAGCCGAGAGGCGAGGAATTCCGGCGGCGCCGTTTGTTGAAGATGTCCAGGTGTTCTTGGAGAAGACGGCCTCCGATGCGTCGAGCGCGCTCGTTTCTCTTCAAGACAGGTAAGAGATCGAGCTACATTCTACTTCTTGGCCCCTCGGCTGGGTAGGATACTATTGTTGCCGATGGGTTTTGCTATCGATCGAGCACTTTCTTGGTTGGATTTCATTTTTTTGGCTGCATGATCTCAAAGAGCTCGAGTTTTGCATGAAACCATTTTGAAAAATAGAAACTTTGGCTCGATCCGTAGCATATTTTGGTTTCATGATCATTTGCGATGGATTTTGCTATCGATCGAGCACTTTCTTGGTAGTATTTCATTTTTTGGCTGCATGAAAGAGCTCGAGTTTTTGCATGAAACCATTTTGAAAAATAGAAACTTTGGCTCGATCCATAGCATCTTCTGTTCATGATCATTTGCAATTGAGTCTATGCTAAAACTATTCTTTCTTCCCTTTGGCAGACTTCAGCAATACAAACTCGCGGAAATGAAACTGCTAGCGCAAAGAAGAGACCTTCAGGTACTTTGTAAGTGTGATCTTTGCACTGCCCGACTGTGGAAGATCGCTGGTTCCTAAAATTGCTGTTTCAGGCTAAAATTCCAGACATAAAGAAATGCCTGGATATCGTCGAGGCACTGTTGAGCAAGAAGAGTTCAGGCGAGGTATAAGATGATAGTATGTTTCCTCCATCGAAAATCTAATTTTCTTCTACGTTCAGGAACCAATGACGGTGGATTTCGAGCTAGCCGAAGGGATCTACTCGCAAGCGCGTGTAGACGATGGAGACTCCGTTTGTTTGTGGCTGGGTGCCAATGTGATGCTCGAATACTCATACGACGAGGTAAAGATCTCGTTTTTCATCTTCTTCCCTTTGATCAATCTTCCATTTGTGTTTCTTAGGCACTGTTGCTCTTAAAGAAGAACCTGGAGAACGCAAACTCCAGCCTTGAGGCAATCATCGAAGATCTCAAGTTCATACGAGACCAAGTTACCGTGACCGAGGTATTTCTCTTCCAAAAATCGTTTGTTTCTCCTTAGCTTTGTGAATCTCAAGCTTATCACTGGAACTTAGGTGACAATCGCGAGAGTGTACAATTGGGATGTACATAACCGCCGCAAGTCAAAACAAAAGGACGAGCCCTGAAGAACACACCGTTAAAATTCTTTGGGATTTGAGATAGTTAAATTCGACGGTTATGCTTTGTCCACGTGTGGCTGGTGTTCTAAGTTTTTAGGGCTCTTGGAGCGAGCGGATGCCCCACGGCCGGGATGGATGCGCAGATTCGATCTAATCCCCGGTGAAATCCCTCGAAATCTCGCCTCTCCAGCGGCAAGAATCTCGATATTTCGGTGAGATTTCTCTTCTTTTCGCGATCATCGTTCTAGAACGCTCTTGATTCCTCTGGCAGCGGCAAGAATGCATGGCGCGAGCGATAGAGGAAGAGGAGGAGGCGAGGAGGACGAGGACGAGGAAGAGAGCCAGCAGCAGCTTTTGATCCCTGGCTTGCCGGACGATCTGGCGATGCGATGCCTAGCCCGGGCGGCTCGGCAGGATCACAGCGCCCTGAGGTCCGTGTGCCGGCGATGGTGCCAAATCTTCACCAGCGAGCAGCTGCCAGCGCTGCGGCGGGGGTTGGGCGTGGTGGAGGGATGGCTCTACGCTCTCAGCAGGGACAAGTCGGAGTGCCTTTCCTGGCACGTCTTGGATCCCTCCAAGCGCAAGTGGATGGAGCTGCCGCGATTGCCCGAGGATCTGGCAGGGAAATTCGGCCTCACTTGCGCGGTGCTGGGCCGGGAGCTCTTCGTCATGGGTGGCTGTGATAAGTACGAAGAGCCCACCGCCGAGGTGTGGCGATACGACGCTCTCAAGAACAGATGGTCCGGGGCTCCACGCATGGAAGTCGCGCGATGCCACTTCGTCAGCGGCTCCTCCAGCGATCGTCTCTACGCGATCGGTGGCATGGGACTAGTTTCGGGAGCTCTCACTTCGTGGGAGATTTTCGACAAGGAGAAGAACCACTGGTCGCTCTACAACGATCCAAACATCGTCTCGGACTTGGGCGAGTCGCTGGTGCTGGACGGAAGGATTTACGTGCGGCATGCCAGCCCGGGGATCATTCCGCCATTCTACGCCGCGGTGTATGATCCACAGGCGAATGCGTGGGACGCTCTCGACAATCAAATGACCCGGCAGTGGTGTGGCCCGGCTGTGGCAGTCGGGGGCGACGTTTACATGCTCGACCAGACTCTGGGGATCAAGCTCATGGTGCTCAACAGGGCTACTGGGGAATGGAACACGGTTGGCAGGCTTTCTCCTCATTCCATTCGGACTCCTTGCCGGATCGCCGCTGTTGGGAAGAACCTATATGTTGTAGGACGCGGGCTCAAGACCATGGTCTTGAACTTAGAGGAGGCAGGGAAGCACAGGGGGCTGCTGGTGACTTCTTCCATAGAAGGGCTTCGGTCAGTGGACGATGTAGTTGTGAGCTGCAACGTCATTGAGCTCTAGAGGTTTAGATTACAGGTAGAGGGGAAAACGCAGGACACTTGCGACACAGGTTCAGGTTATCACCGCAGGAAGGGAAACATGGATTCTTACCACTTCGATGGCTATCAGGCGAAGCGAAGCCACTCGACAATTTATATACAAGTATGGTGGTCTTCTTCGGGATTGTGGGGTTATACTGGAGGGCGACGAGTTCATGAGAAGCGGGTCAGGTTTCTGGGGAACTTTTTGGTAGAAGTGTGATCGCTTGGAGGAGTTTTGGACAGGATGCGAACGAAAATGTAATGGCTTCTGTCTGGCTCCGGCTCTTGGGAAGTGTCACTCCATCAATCTCGGCTCTTTAGAAGCGGTCTTTGGGAAAGCTTGGGCCAGAGATGCCAACAGGTTCTTGGACGACGAGCAGGAACAGGTTCTTGTAGACGCGTGTGGAAGCCTTGGATGACTAGCAGCAGAGGCGAGAGCTGTGCATGGTGTGGATCATAGCTCCGTGCGTCACTTCGTCACCATGTCACGAGCTCTATGACGCGTTCTACGTTACACAGGCTATCGGTGAGATCGACCGAGAAGCTCTCGAGCTTCATGGATAAAGTTTTATGCAAGCTAAAGCTTTCTGAAACCATGGGATCGTCGTTAACGCTGGTGGCCTTCAGATGATCGCTTTTGGAAATAAGCTTTCAATTAATTTATTGGTCAAAACCAAATTTGGAAATATACCCGTTTGAAATACCTTTAAGCCCTAATCTCTTAGGGCTCTTCTCCTCTTCGCGATGGACGAAGAGGAGGTAGGGGCGAGCAGGAAGGGCTGGATTCTGGCGCTGGACGCGGCGGAATCACGGATTTCTGAGGTGCGTCCGGAAATGCAGCGAAATCGCCGTACGCGGCCTTTGCGTCTTGGATCCGTCCAAGCTGAAATGGATGGAGCTTCCGCGACTATTCAAGGATCTTCGTGCTGGGCTTGGCCATGACTCTCAAGCGCTGCCAAGGCATTGAGCTCTACTGCAGAGAACTATGTCTCACTCACCACGGGAAGGAAAGGCGTGGATTCTTGCTTCTTCGGTGGCTGTCAAGCGATGCGAGGCCGCTGGACAACTTGGACAAGTACGCCATTCTTCTTCGCGAGTGTGGCACACTCGGGGACTACGCCAGTGGCAGGCGGCTTCACGAGAAGCTGGTGCAAGAGGGGCTTTTCGGAAGATTTCTGGGGAATCTCTTGGTGGAGATGTATGGCAAGTGTGGCAGCCTGGAGGAGGCGCGAGCGGTCTTCAACAGGATACGCACGAAGAACGTCTTTACGTGGAATCTCATGGCCGGTGTCTACACGCAAAATGGCCGCGACAGGGAAGCTCTCCGGCTCTACAGGGAGATGTGCGTGGAAGGAGTCGCAGCCGACGACTTCACCATCTTGGCCGTGCTCGCGGCCTGCGCGAATCTCCGCTGCTTGAAAGCTGGAAGAGCGGTTCTTGAGAGCATCAGAGGAAGCCGGATGATCCTGGAGAACTCGCTGGTGGGAAGCTCGATCGTTAGCATGCTTGGGAAGTGTGGCAGCGTCGCGGATGCCAAGAGTTTCTTCGACGACGAGCTCTCCAGCAAGAGCACGGGCTCCTGGAACGCGATGCTTGCAGCGTACTCGCAGAACTGTTTCGGAGCCGAGGCCATTCTTGTCTTCCGATCCATGCTGCTCGAGGGTGCGAAAGCGGACAGTGTGACTTTCGTGAGCGCCTGTAGAAGCATTGGAAGTCTAGCGATGGCGAGAGCTTTGCATGGAGTTGCCCGTAGCGGCGGCCTGGAGAGCGATTCTATCGTCGGGAACGCGCTGGTGAGCATGTATGGGAGATGCAAGAGCTGCGAGGATTCGAGGAACGTCTTCGACCGGCTAGTGGTGAGGAACATCGTCTCCTGGACTGCGATGATCTCGGCCTATGGACAGTGCGGCCATCACCGAGAAGCGCTGGAGCTCTTCGAGGCGATGGACTGCGAGCCGGACAGGGTAGTGCTTGCCAGCGTCCTGGATTCCTGCGGCAGCCTCTGCGATCTGGATTCCGGGAGGAGGATTCACGAGCGCTACTGCAAGGCGCTGGAGGAGAAGTCCGTCCAGATTGGAAACGCGCTGGTGGAGTTCTACGCTAAGTGTGGAGCTGTGGAAGACGCTGTGAGATCCTTCGAGAGGATGGCTTCCAGGGACGTCCAGTCGTGGAGCTCGATGATCGCAGCGTACTCCCAGAGCGATCGCGGCGATCCATCATCGTCATCGCCATCGGCAGTGAGCTTGTTCTTCCGGATGGCGCTCGAGGGAGTGAGCCCAAACGAATTCGTGCTCACGCACGTCCTCGACGCTTGCAGCCATCTGGGACTGGAGTCGCGAGCTCGCGGCTTGCTGGGTTCCATGGCCGAGGATCACAGCATCGCCGCGAGCGTGGAGCACTACGGCTGCTTCGTCGATCTGCTGGGACGATTGGGCGAGCTGGATCGAGCGCAGGAGGCGATCGAGCTCTTGCCTTTCCAGGCCGACGCCGTGATGTGGATCATTCTTCTCAGCGCTTGCATCGTCCATGGCGATGTGGAGCGAGGAGCTCTAGTCGCTGCTCGAATCACTCGGCTGGATGATGACGGCGCTAGCGCGAGCGCGTGCTTCGTTTTGGCGGCAAATTCCTTCTCCATTAAAGAGTTAATTGTGATTAATTAGAAACGTAACTAACCCGCGGCAAAAATAATTTTAGGGCTAGATTAATTTTTAAAACATTTAGATTTAGCGCTCGAATTATCCAGCATTTTAAGTAAATGCAAGTTTAGGGCACACTTTGCAAAGATGTCCCCCGTCCTCTTGGGCGGCTCCAAGAAATCTTTGAGCGCCATGGAGCAGAGCTCCCGGAGGAGCAAAGCTGTGGCATCCTACTGCTTCGGCGGCCTCCTCTCGCTCTTCCTCGTCGTCCAGATCATCACCGGCGGCTTCCGTCTCATCGAGAATCCGCTCAAGGTACGTTGATCCGATCTTTCTCGCGCGCAATCGCTCCCCCTCTCGATATTCTCCCTCCGCGGCGGATTTTCTTGATCGATCCATCGCTTGATCACGGCGGCAGTTTGAACAGGTCGCGCGCGCGCGCAAGAGCACGGCGCGGATAATCTCCGGCGAACTGGATCATCTCCGATGCATCGAGGGCAGCTTGCGGCAGCTCGGGGACACTGGCATTCTCGTGGATGTGTGCCAAAATGCTGGATCTCGCGCAGCGGCTACTCTTCCCAGGGGATCAAAGGCATGATCTTTATCTTCTCTTTTCTTCCAGATCTCTGATCTCTTGGCTGTGTAGAGGGATTGCAATGTGGAGAGCTTGTGGAGTCAGCCGAATTCCAGATTCTATCAGTGTGTCGACCGCACGAATTACCAGAAAAGTAACTTCCGATTGCTCTCTCTGTGCTTGGATCTCTAAAGGTTGTTCCCCCCTTTCTTCTTTCTTGCAGGAAGTTCTAGCGATGAGACAAATGGATACTTGATGACCTTTGCAAATGGTGGGCTCAACCAAATGAGAACTGCCGTACGTCTTCTTTAGTGTTTCTTGCTCCGTGTCCACGAATTCTATAGACTGATTTGCAGCTTTATGTACGGGCATTGTTTAGATCTGCGATATGGTGGCAGTGGCGCGTGTGATGAACGCTACATTGGTGATTCCCGATCTCGATCATACTTCTTACTGGGATGACCCGAGGTATTTCCTTTCACTTTTCTCGCCATTTGAACTGGTTTACTTTGTTTTCTCTTTGCAGTAACTTCGAAGACATTTTTGACGTAAATCAATTCATAAAACAGCTGCAACATGACATCAAGATCGTTAAAACACTTCCAAACGACTTTAATTCATCTGACGTTTTCCAACTTGCACCAAAATCTTGGTCGCAAGTAAGAACTATTCATTCTGCAGCGTTCGCTGAAAATTTTATTTGTTTGCAGGTATCATACTACCAGGAAGAAATATTGCCTCTTCTTTTGAAACACAAGGTTTTGCGTTTTTCACTGACTGACTCGAGGCTGGCGAACCAAATCTCTGACGAGTTTCAAAGATTACGTTGTAGAGCCAACTACAAGGCGTTGCGGTTTGAGCCGAGCCTTCGATCTTTAGGGAACCGGATAGTCAAACGACTGCAAAAGGGAGGCTCGTATATCGCTCTACATTTGAGGTTCACCTTTACAGACCTTCTTTCCTTTTTCTAACTTTCCTTTTTCTTGGATAGATACGAGAAGGACATGCTAGCGTTTTCGGGTTGTACAGCAGGCCTCTCGTACGCAGAAGCATCCGAGCTTAGAAGAATCCGCTACAACACAAGTCGCTGGAAAGAGAAGGAGATCAACGCCGAGACTCGAAGAGCTTCTGGTGGCTGCCCTCTAACTCCACTGGAGATTGGCCTCTTACTGAGAGCCTTGGGATATCCACAGAACACGACGGTATACATCGCCGCGGGCGAGATCTATGGCGGAAGACAAAGAATGCAGTCCTTCACGGCGCTATATCCCAACGTCGTCACGAAAGAGACGCTCACGTCCCCCGAGGAGCTGAAGCCATTTCGGAGGTTCCAAAACAGGCTTGCAGCGCTCGACTACATGGTGGCAGTGGAGAGCGACGTGTTCATTCCAACGTTTGATGGAAACATGGCGAGAGCAGTGCAGGGACACCGAAGATTTCTCGGCCACCGCAAGACTTTGATCCCGGACAGGTAAGGCTCTTCTCTTTTAAGTGTTTGCGAGTTCTTACGAGTGATGTTCTTCGATTCTTGTGTTCCAGGACTCGTCTCGTGAGGATCTTTGATGAGTTTGAGAGGCGGGCAATCGGCTGGGACAGTGTCAAGCTCCAAGTCCAAAAGACTCATAGAAACAGGCAGGGAGAACCCCACTTTAGGAAATCGGGCTCGTCAAACGCAAAGCTCGAGGAGAGCTTTTACGCAAACCCTCTACCGGGGTGTATATGTGAGAATACAACCACGATTTGCTAGCAGGGAGACGGTTGCTGGTAGACGGCTGGGATTGATCCTCGTGGACGGCTTGGATTGATCCTGGTGGACGGCTTTGATTGGTTTCGGACGGATGGCTTGGATTCATCCTTACGGAAACGGTCACATTTTCTAGGGCTTGAGAGGGCGATGGTGTGTCGGAAGAAGAATGCGAGCCATGGAAGTAGCGATGGCGAGGATTGGACCGAGGGGCAGGAGGCTAGGCTCCATAATGCGCACCTCGTCGTTCGAGCGACGCCGAATTTCTGGCGCGACATCGCGAAGCTTGTGAGTTCTCGCGAAATTCTGGTGATTTGATCGATCGCGTGCTTGCCAGGTTCCAGGGAAGACCGCGGACGAGTGCTTCCACAGATTCTACTCGGCCCATCCTACGCCACCGGTGGCGCCCCAGCAGCACGGGAGGAGGGTGTGCTTGAGCTCGCCAATTCGGCCGCTGGAAGGAAAGCTTCTGTCCCCTACCAGATTGCTACACCAGAAGCAGGCGGCGAAGATTAAAAAGGTCGGCGGGAGGAGCACGAAGGCGATCTTCCAATCGCACAGGGCTGTCCGCGAGATCCTTCGGAAGCAGCAGATCGATGACCAGGGATACGAAGAAGACGCCTTTGCTGCCCTGGAGAGCGCGGACGTTCCTTGCTGGGACAAAGCCGCTGCCTTGGTTTCCATCGCCACCCCTGCCGCTACCAAGAGAAAGAAATCAGCCAAGAAGAAAGAGGTGATCAAAGAGGTGGTGGATTCTTCCAGTGAGAGGCCCAGTTCTTCGGAGGTTCTAAGGCCAGCCTCCACCGATGGGAGGAAGCACGAGAGGTATCTGGATCTCCTCATTCGCAGGAACAAACAACCGTCACAGAGGAAAAATGCGAAGAAAGACGATCCAAGCAGCAGTGGTGGTGTTGGTGGTGATGGTGGCTTTGGTTCAAAGCTCAAGGCGCGGCTTGGATCGAGCAAGAACTTGTCCACTGCCAAGTCCGCGGTGATTGCCAGCGCAAGGGACGTACTGGAACAGATACGTGAGAGAAGATCATCTTCCTCCACGGCCACAGAATTAGACCGCGATAGAGACTCGGGATCATGCTCTGACGCGAGCGACTTGGACGATTTCTAGAGACCCATGCGTACAGGTTCGTCACCATTCTTTTTTCTTGAGCTCTTCACCAGTGATTCACTTCTTTCAGATTTGTGATCGTTAGTAGGGGAAGTTTTTGCGACAAAGATTTTGGGAAGAAACGAATCCCATCCAAACAAAAGTGGCCGCTCTCTTTCTACTCGGCGGCTTTAGGAAGAACTATATCCTCCGGGCCCAGCTCCAAGTCCGTGTCGATCGTCGGCCCATACGAGTGGATCCTCTTGAAGTTCCAGTGGTCAGTCGGGAGTGGCTCCGAGAACCACGACTGGAATTCCTCGTCCCACCGCTGCTCGACCTGTCCAACCGCGAAGTAATTTATGGGAAACGTGAGCGGCGACCGAACTCCATCCGTGTGCCGTGGGATTTTCTTATCCTGCGCGCGCGAAGTTAGAACAAATCAGTCGCAACAAAGGAAAGAGACAAGAAGAAACAACGAGAGCTATACATACCAGTAAGAACGCCATCACGGTTTCTAGGAAACGATCCTCGTCCATCTTTGCGGCCTCGGGATAAATCCGTCCCATAATCACGCGGTGCCTATGCACAGCGATGTTAGAAATGTCAATAAAACAACCAGTCACAGTACCTCGTTTCCTTGTTGTCGTGAGTTACGAGTATGTCGTACATCCATCCGCCGTTTGTGACGAACTTGCTCTCGTAGTACACGTCGAATGTTATCTCTCGATCGTCGGGCGTCTTGACGGAACAAGCCACTCGTTTCGAAGATTCCTCCTCGCGGGCTTTGGCAGCGGCGGCCAGTTCCTCGGGTGTTTGATCTTTCGACTAGAGTGACTTCACAACGTAAGCTTTTTTTTTTTCTGTGTAGAAAAGGAAAAACTTACTGGCAGGATGTCACACTTTCCCTCTGCGAGCAAGTCCGGGTTGTAGACCATCTGTTTTGCCGAATACCAACGAAAGATTAGTGAAGTTTTAAGGCGAACGCTTCTGGAGAAACTCTACCTCTTCCAGGACGCCTTTATCGAACAAAATTTGTTTGAGCGTCTTGGCTCTATCAGCCGCCGCCGCCGCCTTCCCTCTGTCGGAAATGGATCCAGCGTCGACGGGCTGCTCCCACAGGTTTCTCTGTGTAATATCTGCGTTTCCCCTTGGAATGCTCCCAAGCTCGTTCACCCACTAGAAAAATGAAAAAAAAAAGCGATCATGCATCAATCTTGTTATAGCAACTTCTAGCATACGTACCTGTTGTCTCACAGCGAGCATTTTCTGCTGATCAAGCACCGGCAAGTGGAACACCTTGTAAAAGTGGCAAAGCTCCGGACGCCTTCCGATGAGAGTTCTAAGAGAGTTCCTGATATCCTTGGAGAAACCAATGTACTGAACCCTGTTGTTGTTGTCAATTACGGCAAAAATGGTAGCCGCAGTGTCGGGATCCACTGGTGGCTGAATTCTTCCATCCTTGTTGACATAGGGGCAGAGCGGCAGGTCTTTGAGAGGAGTGACGGCTTCCGTTGTAGCAGCCGTTGTAGAAGCTGAGAGTGCTACTACAGCAGCAATGCAGCTTGATCTGGCTCGAGACAGACCCCGCCGTGGCGCATAAATCTGCCATTTGCAAAGTGAATGGCTGGCGTTGCTACCTTGCTTCAGAAATCCCAGATGAGCAATTCTTGCTGAATCTGGAAACGATTGGAGCTGAGCTGACGTTTGTGACACAGCACCATTTTGCAGGGAGATTGAAGCCTGGTACAAGGAACAGATTAAAGAGAGCTCCTTAAGAGAGTCTGGAAAGCTAGAGATTTTGAGATCGGAGAACTCACCGTTGTTGCGGCAACAGCAGCCATGAGCTGAGGGACAGTCGCTTTGGCCTTTACTCATATCTTCCGGTGGAAATATCTACTTGACTTCCCTTATCAGGATAGAATAGATCTTCACCATCCACGGATTCCGAATCAGGTATCCAGGCCGTCCAAACTACACGTTTGTCACTCGTAGGAACCGTTCTGGAGAAAAGAGGTGTTACGGAATTAGACGAATTTCTAACAAAGCTTACTTCCAGAAGAGAAGTTTCTCAAACTCGAACCAGATAAAACGAAGGCGTGGCAATGAGAATGGGAGAACCAATCTGCAAAGCACAAAAAAGACTTTCACTTTGACCCGAACACAAGAACGGAGGAACGACGGTTGACACGGTCTGGCGCTCATCCTCGAGCTTAATCGTCAAGTCAGGAACAGATCATTCTAAACAAAAGCACAGTCAACCCAACGCCAAAGACATGAGCCTTGACAGCGTCAAAGCACGAGCTTGCTTTCGTTTAAAAGTACCTGGAGTGGTATAAAAAGATCGCTCGTTGTTCCTCTCCTCTCCCAGCTTTGACATTTTCCTCCTGTTTCAATCAGCGGAAAATCGGATAAGTCTCGAGGAAGAAGTAAAAAACAAGCGCAGCATCGATCAATTCAAAGCAATTCCGGCAAAAGCACAGCTCAAAAGTTTCGAGAGGCAATGATAGTCAACCCCACAGCCCACAAAGTACAAAGAAAGGAGAACAGTCTTGGTCCAGCGTGTTTGACAATTTTTAACGCGCGATCTTCCGCTTCGACGTGTTCAAAGAGGTGTCTTGACCGGAGTCCAGTGATCACAGCTATAAGTACGAGGAGAAGAAGAAAAGCTTCTCCTTCATCGTAAAGATTGGACCAGCCAAGAGCCAGCCAGCCCAATCCACGAAAAAATTCTAAGAGAGAGAGAGAGAGAGAGTAGCAAGCGAGAGAGCCAAAAAGAAAAGAAAAAATACACGATGATGTCAGGAGGGAGTCACGAAGAATAAACAAAGAGCAAAGAAGGAACCGCTGCTTACCTATTTCTTCTCTCCAAAATCCATATTTCTATCCTGCGAGCGAGGCACGAGAGATTCCACTGCACGACTCGCCAAATTGGAGTGGAGGAGGAGCCGCCAGCTTGAATCGGCTGTGATCTCTGTCACATTGGCGAGATTATCGATTCTTCTAGCTCCGCCGCGCCGTCGCCAGCGTGATCCATCCCTGCATTCGCTCGTCCCAGAGGAGAAGCCCCCAAAATTTGTGCTCGCATAGCTAGGGTTAGGGTTTTGGAGGAGGGGGATGGAGAATGTGAAGCACCAGCGGCATCGCCATCGCCAGTCGCCATTCCCGGGAGCTGGCGATTTGCGGGTAAATTCCTCGTGAGAGCGAGCGAGCGAGCGAGCTAGCGATAGATGATTCTCTTCACTGTCGGGAAGCGCCAGCGGTAGATTCGTGGCGTAGCTACAGGGAAAAAAAGTAAGAAATTCTCGCGCAATGACGGATGAATCCTTGCTGCCGGAGATTTCCAGCCTCGCCATCCGCGACTCTCCGGCCCGGGCCGGCGATTCCGCCTCCTCCCCGCCAGATCTCGACGTGTCGGTGGCCCTGGATCACGCCGAGGCCGTGGTGCGCAAATGGGAGAATGGCACTGGCGAGCAGATGGTCTGGGAGATCTCCTCCGAGGACGCGCAGGATTATCTCCTCGCCGTGGATAGCCTCCAAGCTCTCCTTGGCGATGGCGATGGCGGCCCCGATGCTGCCAGGATCCAGGAGGTGCTGCGAATCGCCCAGGGGCGATTGAAGAGCGAGTTCAAGCACTTGCTCGCGATCCACACCGAGTGCGTCGACCCGAGCTGGCTGCCCGAGAGCTTCTCGGCGCCATCTTTCAGCTCCAACCCGGATCCATCCGACGAAGATGGTTCGTCAACGAATCCAGATGGTGTTTCCACCGAGCAGCAGTCGATGCGAGAGCAGAGCTTCATCATAGATCTCCTCCCGCCCGCCATCGTCGCGGACTTGAGCGACATAGCCCGGAGGATGGCCAACATGGATCACTCCCGTGACTGCATCGACGCTTACATCCTCGTCCGCAAGGGCGTCCTCGAGGACAGTATGTTCTTGCTGGGAGTGGAGAGGCTCTCGTCCGAGGACGTCCAGAAGATGGAGTGGAAGGTTTTGGAGCCGCGCATGAAGAAGTGCCTCAAGGCCATGAAGGTTTCGTTCAAGGTGCTGTTTGCGAGTGAGAGGTTTCTCTCCGACGAGGTTTTCGCCGTGGACCTCGAGGAGAGCGATACGTGCTTTGCCGAGATGGCCAACGACGCGGCGCTCGAGGTGCTCGACATGATCAGAGTGTTTGCGACGCCGGACAAGCCCGAGAAGCTGTTCCGGCTGCTGGACATGTACGAGACGCTCAAGGAGCTGCTGCCCGAGATCGAGTTGGCGTTCCAAGGACAGGTTTGCAGTCGAGTGCGCCAAGAGGCTGCTGATGTTCTCGATATACTCAGTGGTGCTGCCAGGGAGACCTTCGTCGGGGTGAAGAACGCCATCGAGACGAGCTTGTCGACGCAGCCGGTTGTCAACGGTGCCGTGCATCCCCTCACGCGGTACCTGATGAACTACCTCTCGTTTCTGTCCGAGTACATGGACACGATGAAGGAGCTCTTTGGTCACCAGGAGTCCGCGAACGGCGAGGCTGGTGTGGCTGGCGGCGACGAGACGAGCGAAGCCGCGGGTGCCGGTGAGGACGAGAACGAAGTTGGAGCTCTCCGATCGCCGCTGGTGCCGGTTTTGATGGAGATACTAGAGGCGCTGATGAGGCACACGGACGAGAACGCGAGGCTGTACAGAGACACGGTGCTGAGCACCATCTTCCTGATGAACAACACACACTACATCGTCCAAAAGGCCAAGCACGCTGGGATCCAGTTCGTCATCGGGGACTCTTGGCTGCGGAGGCACAGCTCGCTGGTGCGGTACCACGCCATGAACTACCAGAGGGTGGCGTGGGGGAAGATCTTCTCCTATCTCCGGGACGAGGGGATCCGGGGACCGGGGTACAACATCTCCAAGGAGATACTCAAGGAGAGATTCAAGAACTTCAACGCTGCGTTTGAGGAGATCCACAGGACGCAGGCGGGATGGGTGGTGTCGGACGGCCTCCGGGACGAGCTACGCGTTCTCATCAGTGACAAGCTCATCCCGGCCTATCGATCCTTCCTCGGGAGATACAGGGTCCACCTCGAAGGCATGAGACACTCGGAGAGATATCTCAAGTACTCGGTGGAGGACTTGGAGAACCTCATCAACAATCTGTTCGTGGGAGCAGCGCATGGTTCGATGAGCAGGCGACGATCCATCACCGGCGGAGGGTGAGCTTGAGTACGCGCTACGATCGAAGGAAACGAGAAAGCTAAAGTACCATCGGTGCGCGAGAAAAAAGTTCCAAGAGTTGAGGAACGAAGTGGTGAGGAGGATATCAAGTGGAGCGATAACGGAGCATGGATGGATTGACCAGGTTGCTTGCTACTCTCTCTCTCTCTCTCTCTCTCTCTCTTTCTCTCTTTTTTTCTTACTAAGCAACGTTTTTGAGGAGCGGGGATTTGTGGCTCTTTTCTTTTTCTCTCTTTTCTCTCCTCTTTTTGCTCCTGTACAGATTAGCGAGCCTCCAGTGGGAAGAAGAAATTTTCTCCACCTCTGGCAGCTGGCTGCTGTTGTGCTCTTGTCTGGGACTCTTTATTTCATAATGTAATAAAGCGCTGAAAATCAAAAACATCGTTTAAGATTATTCTAAAATTTTGTTCCCTTTTTACCTTTTGTTCAAATGTTCATCTAGGCTCTTGGATGGATTCTGTTTCGCAAAGACTGGTGGATCCATTTTTAGAGAACTCCATGTGACAGAGGATGATATAGTACCATGGTTTCATCAACATTGCTCGACTCTACTCTACATACTATACCTTTTGAAAATGGATGGCACAATATATTGCTTATGTGGTATTAAGGATGTTGCCAAGATGGCCAACGACGCAGCGCTCGAGGTGCTCGACATGATCAGCGTGTTTGCGACCCAGACAAGGGCCGAGAAGCTATTCCGGCTACTGGCCGAGATCGAGTAGGTAGCTGATGCTCTGGATCGATCTTGCCTTCGAGAGGGGCGAAATATTTTACCTGGGGATGGAGGAAATGGACCCGACGCTAGATGGCAAGTTTAAAATGCGAGGTAGCAAAGAAAAATGTGAAAAAAAATTAACTATCAAACAAATTGCCTCAAGGGAGTTCCTTGCAAACGGAACACAAGAAAATGCGAGTATATAGCAGCACACACTGCATGAAACCAGTAATCGCAAGCTATCCAGTGACCTCTCTCAGCTGTAACTTCAGAATCCTCCTTCCGGTGACATACTCCGCAGATGCCGATCGGCCGGTAGTTCCCGCGCTTAAATTCTTCAAAAGCGTTCTAAATTCTTCAATCGGACTCGTCAACCACTATTGTGCACTACTTTGCTGAGCTAACTCCGTTCTGGTTACCTTCGGAAGCGTTCCCCTTGAAGCTGGATACACGATTGGAAAGGCCATGATATATCAAGTATATACTGAGTGCTGCTGCGTAAGCAGAGGTTTTGGAGCTGCCTTCCTTAGTGGATAGACTTGCGTGGCTTTCATTGACCAGTGAACAGAACAATGGTCTCAGATGCAAAGCGAAAGCGCCACATCAAGTCCGAACCAGCACCATTGTCTGCTACGAAGAGTGTACACCTGTCACAGATGTAATCCAGGCTCGTGTACTGGCTATCAGCAATGTACACAGCCACCGCCTTGTTATCCAGGCGGAGCCTTTCACTATTTCACTTGTTTCCGTCTTAAGCCTCTCCATCGTTTCCGTCAGCGTCAGTCCATCAAACAGCGCCGTGCGAGCCATCACTCCATTCTCTGCATCCCACCAGCTCCAGCGGAAGAAGAATCCTTGAGGCTGCTTAGCGCGCTATAGATCTTATATTTGATGTCGTCCACGCTTTGCAAGTAGTTGTGCATCGCCAAAAGCGATAGGGGCTTATCTATAACAACCACATCACGGCCAGGGATCTCTGCCTGCAATGTGTTTGTACCAAATGGCAGAGCATAACACCGTCCAAAGTAGAAATACTGAATCGTGGCTTGATGTCTTTGACAGGCATGCCCTCTTTTGTTGTGAGCTGACTCACCACATCCCATAGAACCGCGGATATATATCATTGGTGATGATCTTCTCCGCACGCTCGTCAACCTGTAGAATGCCCCTGGACTCCACCATTTGTGTAGCATCTGACCAACCCCCAACATCGGTAAACATGTCGTACAAAGTAAAACCTGTTCGCAGAAAATAACCCCCTGTCAAAGACACCTGTAAGAACCGGCTTAGCCAGTGGTCGTGTTGCATAGACGACAATCCCCCTGGGCCGGATCTGGAGCAGTGATGCCCTGTGCCTAACGGGAGGGATGTCAGCCTCCCGTAAAAGCAGCTCCTCACTCAAATCGTCTAACTGTATAATTTCCTGTCGAAGTTGATGTCGGTTAGCAACATAGTTGGCCATCCAGTGTCGTTCAAAGATACCACCCGCATACTGACAGCAAGCTTGGATGAGTAGCCAGCGATAAGGCGTTACCCCTCTGTTCTTGCAGTAGAAGAAAATCTCCAGCCGAGTCAAAAGCAGCAACCGAAGTGCAAAAGTTACCGCTTCGCTACGTCTTCCACCAGGTTTCCGAAGTCCTTTGAGCCCCCGTTGCCGTGGTTATTCACCACGAAAAAGAGTCCAAAGTTCCATGCATAGAGTGTCCTCGTTTTATCACCATTGCAAACCGGGTGGTAGCAAGCCAAGGACTTGTCAAACGCATCGGTCCTTTGCTCATGCAAACAATGCAGCAAAAGTGTCTCCTCCATTACTGGAACAAATCCCCCCGTATAAATGCGTCCAGGAGCTTTTTGTCTAAGAGTCCCCGCAAATCGTCTAGAAATATGGATTTCTAACTTCAAACACAGGAAAAGGAGAACTGCAGAAACCAGCATTACAAACCAGACAGAGATAAAAAAGTAAGGTGGCAAGAAAAAGTAAACCTCCAAGGACACAGGGGTCTACCTATGGTGTGGTTCTGAGGTGAGATTCAAGCGTCCTCCGCAGCCAAGGTCAGGGGTGCTGGATTTTTTGCGGGACGCCTATGGGCATGAGCTTCTTGTAGATGTAGTTATGGACCAAAGTGTGGAGGGCGGCCAATACATCTACAAACGAGGTTTGTTCGTTGATGCATTTGGGATTTAATTGGCGTGAGGATTGTGCCTGCACTTCCTGTTTTCGCAGTCAGCGTGGCTGTAAATCTGTTGGTGCTGGTTGTGCTATGCCGTCCTTCTCGCACCTTGATTTGAGTGAGTAATTTGTTTCTGTCACAGTGGCTTCTCGACTGCACCACTTTCGTTGTTTGTGGAAGTGGTGTTGATGATTGATGATGATCTTTTCAGAATGCTTGAATTCTTCAGCGTTTGCCTGCTCTCTGTCCCGGTGTCTGGCTCATATAGCTTGTCCGAACAATGGAGTGTGTGTGTATGAATGATGGGCCTGGTTTTTGTTGCTAAGCGTGTGGTGGTGGGTGCCTGTTTTTTGTGGGTATTTTATTTTTCTTTTGGCAAGCATGGATACGACTGCTTGTTGGTTAGGGATGCTTCAGATGTGTTGCTTAGTTTTGTTTCGGTTCTAATGCACTGTTGCGGGACAAGTCTTCAGGCTGGTTGTTTGAGTTGCGTACGGTTTAGGGTTTATGGACCTATAAACCCTAATATCTTGTTCAAAATGAAAGAATATGCGTTATAGGATCTTAGCTTTATGCCCTTATCTTTTATGGAGGTGGGAGTGGAATTCAGCGTCAGGGCGAAAGGCTTGAGTCAATACTCATGTTCAAATCCTCGCCATAGTACGCTGGGATTTGGAGCTCTCAAAGCGGACAGGCGAGTTATAAGTACCAGAAGTAGAAATTTTCATGCCAGGGTTGCGACTGGAGAATCTCAAGGTAAATTTTCACTCGTATAGAAATTCTAGAAAGCTTTCTTTCACAATCGTTCAGTGGGGGAAGTGGATAGCAAAGTCGAGGAGAGCGTTCTGGTGCTAAAGGCCGCTGCCAAGAGCAAGAAAATCCCAGGTCCAGAGGTGTTTGCGGCATTTAGAGTTTTGGAGAAAGCCCGCGTGGATCCATCCAATTTTCTAGAGACTCTGGGAGGAAGTAGTGGAGCTGAGCCAAGGTGCTGGATGCTTGTCTTCACTTCTGGAGCCAAAGTGGTAAGAAAAACTTGTCATAAATCTAGAACTTTGCTCTTAGTTTTTGCTTTCGATTTGAAGGTGAGAGAAGCTTTGAAAGGTGGTGGTGGAGGTGGCACATACTTCCCATTCACCGCTGTGCAGCAATACAATGCCACTGTAAGTTTCCAAAAGTTTTCACAAAGATTCGTTGTTAACAATGTGGATCATCGCAGACAAAGAGCATACAAAACGGGCTCTACCTCGGCCCTCTTGGTGTGCTGGAATTCATGGGACGCTTCTCATGGTCCAAGAACAAGCTCTTCTTCATCTTCGATTCCCTGAGCTTCAAGGTTGGGCGTCTCGGCCCCTTCCAATTCGCGATCAGCAAGAAAGAAGAGCTGGATCGAGAGCCCGGGAACAAAGATCCCTTCTTCATCTGGTTCTACGCGGACGAAGAAATCGTCGTTGGAAAGGGGCGAGGAGGAGGCATTGCTCTGTGGGTGCGTTGCAATCGAAGAGTTTGAACCTCAGCCGCTAGATCAGAAACTGCAAATCTCAGGCGTTGGTTTTAATCGCATCGTGGCCGTCTGTTCTGAACCTGGCATCGACGGCCATGATGGGCGGGAGACGGACGGCCAAGATATGCGGAGGAAGGGAGTGAAAGTAGATGTGTTTGTTGTTTTAGGGTCTTCGCCGCCATAGCCAGTGTGGGGGGGAAGAAGATTTGTGGCGGAAGAGTAGTAGCAGCTCCAGATCTCTAGCAAAAGAAGGCCTCGCATCTCCGGTAAAGATCGTCCAATCCTCTCCTAGGGCTAGGGTTTTGTGGGCCGCGGCAAATCGGTTCCATGCGCGGCGCTGCCCTTCTCGTCCTGCTCTCTCCACCGCCAAGCCGCCGCCGGAGCGCGCCGTAACACTTTTCTTTGATTCTTTGTAGCCGCGCTGGAAATGGGTGAAGCCAAGGAGAACGACACTTATCAGGAGGAGCTTTTGGACTACGAGGAGGAAGAAGAAGCGGCCCCCGACGCCGTTGCAGCTAAGGGAGCGGCAGAAACAGTGAAAAAGTGAGTCTTTTCCTTTCCCTTTTTCTTCGCGACTCTTGCTAATGCTTGTTTCTTCTTCAGGGGCTATGTTGGTATTCACAGCTCCGGTTTTCGAGACTTTCTACTCAAGCCTGAACTCGTTCGAGCTATCGTTGATTGCGGTTTTGAGCATCCATCAGAAGGTTCGCAAAAGGCTTTAGATTTTCTTTTGTTATCGAGAGGGGTCTTATGAGGGTTTCCTTTTTCATGTTCGCTAGGTAATTATTCCTCGAGTTTAACACCCAACTTATCTTCCGAACAGTGCAATTCGAGTGCATCCCGCAAGCTATACTCGGAATGGATGTCATCTGCCAAGCGAAGTCCGGAATGGGAAAAACTGCCGTGTTCGTGCTTTCAACGCTGCAGCAGATCGAGCCACTGAAGGGGCAAGTTGCTGCTCTGGTCTTATGTCACACGCGAGAGCTAGCTTACCAGGTACAGTAGCTTTTCTTGAGATGTGCATACTAACGCTTTCTTTTTTCTCTAGATTTGCCACGAGTTCGAACGATTCAGCACTTATCTTCCAGACATCAAGGTTGCGGTTTTCTATGGTGGTGTCAACATCAAGACCCACAAGGACCTCCTCAAAAACGAATGCCCCCACATCGTCGTCGGCACACCAGGGCGTATTCTTCAGCTGACGAGGGAGAAGGAACTGAGCCTGAAGGGTGTTAGGCACTTCATCCTTGATGAGTGTGACAAGATGCTGGAGTCCCTCGGTATGGTCGGCTGGGTTGCTGCGATCGCTCTCCATCTCTTTCTTTGTGTTCCTGTACTAACCTTGGAGCTTCTATATAGACATGAGGCGCGACGTGCAGGAGATCTTCAAGCTGACACCCCACGACAAGCAAGTGATGATGTTCTCAGCCACCCTCAGCAAGGAAATTCGCCCGGTTTGCAAGCGGTTCATGCAAGATGTAATGTCCTGGTGTCACACTCTCATCCGACAGTTTTTCCTGGTTTGGGCATAGAGGCGTTCTGTTGGTATGCGTCCAAGGAACTCTGGGGCTGCTGCATGATGATTTCTAGTGTTAGTTCTTCTCTGCTACCGCCGAAAGACGGAACTATTTCCTGGCTGTGAGTGATGCGTGGGAAAGAACTTCTTTTAGGTGGTGCTTAGATAGTAAGTTCAGGTGACCTGGACCAGCTGCTGCATTTAGTCCAACGGAAGCTGTTAGCTTTGGTGCTTCGTTTTCTACAAGGAGTTCACCTCACCTATTGTTTCAATTGGCAGCCTATGGAGATCTATGTTGACGACGAAGCCAAGCTGACTTTGCACGGACTGGTGCAGGTAAGAAAGCGTTTCTTCGAGTTTTCTTGTTCTGACTTTGGCTCGTTTGCAGCACTACATCAAACTAAGTGAAGCTGAGAAAAACAGGAAGCTGAACGATCTTCTGGACGCTTTGGACTTCAACCAGGTGGTGATTTTCGTCAAGAGCGTGAACCGTGCGGCGGAGCTGAACAAGTTGCTGGTGGAGTGCAATTTCCCTTCTATCTGTATCCACTCGGGAATGTCACAAGAGGAAAGGTATGGTGGTAGTTTTTCATGTTTTTCTCGTGTGTACAAGGATATAGCTGACTGCCAATGCGGCATGTAGGTTGACGAGGTACAAGGGATTCAAGGAAGGGCACAAGCGAATTCTTGTGGCGACTGACTTGGTGGGGAGGGGCATAGATATTGAGCGCGTGAACATCGTGATCAACTATGATATGCCAGAATCCGCAGATACTTATTTACATAGGGTGAGCCTCTCTTTTTCCTTTCGAGTCATCCTCGAGAGCTCATCCTTTTCCTCTCAGGTTGGCCGAGCTGGACGATTCGGAACAAAGGGCTTGGCCATTACATTTGTAGCTTCTTCGACTGACTCGAACGTGCTAAATCAAGTGAGTATAGTTCCAAGTTTTCGAGTTTGTTCCTTTGTCTCGTTTTGTTTCTAGACAGTTCTCATGTTGGTAAATGCTGCACAGGTTCAGGAGAGATTTGAAGTAGATATTAAGGAGCTGCCAGAGCAGATCGATACCTCCACCTACAGTAAGCAATTTCTCATCGCTCGCAGTTCTCAGGGACTGATACTGTGTGTTGTGTGTTCTTCGCAGTGCCGTCTTAGTCTCAAGGAGGAACTGAAAAGAAGGATTTACTTTTTAAGGACTTCCATTTCTAAAGCTGTACAATGTTGAAGTTTTGTTGTAACGATGATTAAGAGTACTTATGATGATATGCACTGGAGAAAATATTTCTAAAATGATGGACATATCCCTGTAAAGGTGACGGCGGGCCCGCGACACAACACAGGAGCATGTGTTATGTTGAGAGGCTGGGAATTTACACTGGGGCCTTGTCAGGGACACTGTCCCTGGCAAAGCCACAGTAGCCAGCGAAGCACTAAGAAAGAAAGAAAGAAAGCGTTGCCACACCAACAAAAGTGGTGTGTGAGTGTGTGTGTAAGAGAGGAGGAAAGAAAAGAAACAAGCGAGGAAGAAGAAGAGAAGAGAGAGCTTGTCTGATTGCTCTCTGTGTGGCGCTGCGCAAAGAATTGATAGATGGTGTGAGAAATTCGTGGGGAATTTGGTGAAATCGATTGGGTTTTCTTCCCGTAAGATCGTTGCTGGGCGTGATTGCGACGGCCTCGATCGGCATTTTGCTCCGCTAAAGCGGATCTGGATCTACATTCCTTCGTCGCGTCCTTTCCCTTCTTGGATCTCCTGGCGATGAATTGATGAAGATCCAATCAATATGTCCCTTGGCTTTTGGGTAGATCTTGGCGATTCGGGAGGAGATTGGCGAATTGGATGAGAGGTAATGTGTCTAGTAGATGATGGCTTGATGGAATTGGAGAGATCTACCCGTACTGTAGCGTTCTAGACAGAGTCAAGCCTTGATCTATCTCTTTGTCGCTTTTCCTTCGTCCACTCTATCTAAATCTTTTGCCTTTGGCATGGGTTTGCAGGTTTTCTGCTTCGTCGCCTTCTTTCTTCTCTTCTGCCGCTTTGATTGATTGACATGGGGAAGTCTACGCGGTGGCTGCTGGCCTTGATTGGCCTCAAGAAATCCTCGAAAAAAACCTCAGTGGAAGAACAAGATGTGGTAAGCTCCAGATAGTTTACTTCTATGATAATGTTTTCCACACTTTAGAGGAAGAGCAGCAAAGACAAGAGACGATGGAGCTTTGGGAAATCAGCAGCGGCCCCGGCAGACTTCGTGAAATCCAGCTCCAGTTCCGCGAGAGAGATGGATCACAGCCAAAACGAGCAGGCCAAGCACGCGATTGCGATCGCGGCTGCGTCCGCTGCCGCCGCCGAGGCCGCCGTCGCTGCTGCTCATGCCGCTGCTGCGGTGGTCCGCCTCACTGGCGCTGCAAACTACGCTAGTCCAGTTTTCGAGCTCATCAGTCGCGAGGAATGGGCCGCTATCAAAATCCAGACTGCCTTTCGTGGCTACTTAGTAAGTTGTTCTTCGAGCTCGCCACCTTGCTTCTTATCGAGAGCTTGATTGTTTTTCTAGGCTCGGCGAGCTTTGCGTGCGCTGAAGGCAGTGGTGAGGATCCAGGCATTGTTTCGAGGCCACCGAGTTCGAAAGCAGGCCGCCATAACTTTACGATGCATGCAAGCTCTTGTCCGAGTCCAGGCCCGAGTTCGAGCTCGCCGGGTCCGGATGTCCAAGGAAGGTCAGGCTGTCCAGCAGCAGCTCCTGGAGCGCAGGGGACGCTATCGAAAATCCATGGTTTGTTCATTGTTTTTTCTTTCGATAGTCCATTTTTTCATTCTTTTTGTTTTCTTCGATCGTAGGATGGATGGATTGCAAGCACTGGCACTGTGGAGGATTTCCATGCCAAGAACGAGCGAAAGCACCTGGGAGCGATGAAACGGGAGCGAGCTCTGGCCTATGCATTCTCCCAATCAAACCAGGTCTGTGTAGGGATTTTGCTCATGTTGAGAGAAAATCGTGCTTGTTTGTCATGTCTCAAAACAAATTTCTCTTTTTCTATCTCTGGAGTCCAATGTTTCTTTTTGCATGTATAGATTGCGAGTGATGGTTCTGTGCTCTCAAAGTCGTCAAAATTCTATCTTTTACATCCCTGGAGATTTTTTTCTTTCTTTTGGCATGTATGGATTGCTCAAAGTTCGGGTGGTGGTCTCTTTTTACTATTTCGTATGTTTCTCTAGCTGGCTTTCTCGCTATTCTCAAAACTCTTTCGCAAGTTCATCCAGATCACGATGTGTGTGTATTATAGCCACATTTTCATGGTCAATTACTTTGGTTCTGTTTCTATGATATAGCTGACGAAGTTGCTGGCCGAGTTGCAGAGCCGAACAGCATCACCCATGGTGATCGACTGCGAGCCCGACACCCCGCACTGGGGCTGGAGCTGGCTCGAGCGATGGATGGCGGCGCGGCCCTGGGAGAATCCTTTCGAGGCCACCAGTCCGGTCGATTCCGGCTGCACCAAGATCGTCGAAGTCGACTATAACAACCAGTCCGCCAACAAGCTAAATCCAGCCAAAGCTCCGCCGCCACCACCTTTGTCATCAACACCACCGAGCAGCAACACAGCCATAGCAAAACCCGCCAAGAAACGATCCGGCTCCGCCTCGGAATCCATCCCGGACGCGCACAAGATCGTGATTCCAAGCCCCACGAATCCAGCGCCTCCAATCGCCACTGATCGCCACGGACTTTCCCCCAACGCGCAAAACTTGCTCTCTCACCCGAGTCCAGTGATCGACCACCACCACCACGCCGATCAATCCTCCAGCGCTGCCGCCATTGCCGCTTCTCCAAAAGATCTCCTGGCTCTGGACGACTGTTTCGCCAAGAACACCCTCAAGCCTCTCAAGAACGCTGCTGCTGCTGGTGTGGGTACCAGCGCGGAAAACCAGAGCTTTGTCCAGGATTTCCAGCAGGGGATCATCCGGGACATGGATCTCACCCTCGCCGGATCCTCGTCCGAGCTCCCGGCGGCGGCGGTGCCGAGCTACATGGCCACCACGCAGTCGTCCAAGGCCAAAGTTCGCTCCCACAGCACGCCCAAGCAAAGGCCAGAGCAGCTCTTGGGCTTGACGATGCCCGACACTCCCAGGAAGAGCATGAGAAACTCCATGAATGGCGGGCACGCCCTCCTCCTCGCCGCCACCACCGCCAGTGGAAGTTTCTCCTCCGCCACCGCTGCCGCCAATAATGCTGGCTCCATCGCTGGAGCCCTGCTGAGAAGAGGCGGGAGCGCTTCCTCCTCGCAGCACGGCAATGGCAGAGGCTTCTCCACTGGATCCATGGCGCTGGATAGATCCTTGATCTCTCTCAAGGATGGCCACGCGAGCTTGTCCATCAATGGCGACATGAGAAAGCCCTTTAGATTCTAGTCTTCTTCCAAAAGAACTGGAGGACAACGAAGTGTAAGTATACGTAGTTCGTGTGTGAATAATACATATCTCCTCCATACTCGTGTCTCGCGGGAAATTTCAAAATTTAAAAAGATACTTTTCAAATATACCAAATTCGATTTGCTTCTCGAAGAAGAATATCCTTAGGAGTAGCTTATTGTAGGAAATTTAAATGTCGGGAGTGGAAAAACAACGTTCACTGGCCCTCCGTACACCGGGCAGTCAAACCTGTGGCATATTCTCCTAGCCGTGCATACGGATTGCTGGAATTGGCGCCAAACGCCACAGGCCGTTGGATGGGCATATTCCAGATAGGGTAAGCTCTCTGTTAGGTGCATTTATGATCTTTAGTAGGGGTTTTTATTGGCTGCGCCGGTGGCAGTGGCGATCGATTAGTTCCTTCGATCTTCTCTATTTTTTTAGCAGGGTTTCTCCTTCCGGGGCATTGACAAGCGAAGCATTGATCAGTGTTGCAGTAGGATCCAGGGCGCAGCACACAGCGCTTCTTCCACTTCTTTCTTTTCTCTTCTTTACTCTCCCGGCAAGGGTTCGCTGGGCTCGCATTTGACAGTTCCGTGACAGGAATCCCTGGAAAGCTCCCATTTCTCGCGGCAATAAGGAAGGTGAAGTGAAATATCGGGAGCATTGCTGGGATCTTCAGTGATTTCGCATGGCTTGGCGATCTAGCTAGCGATATTTCGGGGAGCGATGGAGGAATCGGGGGAATTTCGCATGGATGTGAGCAGGGAAGTGGCGAGCACTAGCGGCAGGCGATCCAATTCGCTCCATTTGCAGCTCGGCGATGTGTTGCATGGCGGCAGCAGCAGCAGCAGTAGCCAGATCGTGCTCGAGGTCACGCTTGACGTTCACAGGGATTCGATCTCGCTTAAGAGCGTCGCCCCGGCTGGAAATCCCGAAAATATCCTCCGCTTGCATTCGTGGGATAGAATGTTGCATCATGGCAAATCGGAGATGGAGCTCAAGAAGGTGGGGCGCAATGGGAGCTCCGCGCGGATTTTGCCGCTGAATTTCTCCCCGGATGGCGAGCGCGGCCAGCTCTCGAGATCGATGTCCGGCACGGAGTATGCGATCGAGGGCTTGCGCTTCATCGAGAAGACAATTGCCAGCAAGAACGCAAAGTCTCAGTGGGAGGCTGTGGAGCTTAGATTTCACAAGCTCGCCAACGAGGAGTGTCGGCTTTCACGCTCGGACTTTGGGGAATGCATTGGTAAGCCAACAAGACAGAGTTTGATGGAAAAGCTGACGATCGTTAACTACTCAGGAATGAGCGATTCCAAGGAATTTGCGGAGTTGCTGTTTGATGCTCTAGCCCGGCGGAAAGGCCATGACGAGCTGTGGACCGCTTCGAAGGAAGAACTCCGGGACTTTTGGCTTCAAATCACGGACAAGAGATTTAGCTCTCGATTGCAAACATTTTTTGACTTGTAAGTTGTCCAGTCTTTTCTTTGATTGTTCTAAATTTTATCCATAGGTGTGACACGGATCTGGACGGTCGCATATCAGAAAACGAAGTGAAAGAGGTACATATGGAGTTGATTTTACTCCCTCTGCTTTTGTTTGAGCGCTAAACTAAAGGAACAAGCCCCGGATTGCAGATAATTCTACTCAGTGCGTCGGCGAACAAGCTCTCGTTTCTGCAAGAGCAAGCTGAAGAATACGCAGCTCTCATCATGGGAGAACTCGATCAGAATAAACAAGGATATATTGAGGTAAGAAGCTTCCTACCACGCAACCTTTCAACGTTCAACTTATTTCAGGTGAAACAACTTGAACGGTTGATGCGAGAGCCGATCGCACTCGCTGAGGATCCGTCCTATGGGTACGCGTGTGCTCCAACTTTACACTCTCGAAGAAGAAACCGATTGCATTTACTCCAGAGAACGATCAAGTACTTCGCTCTGGACAACTGGCAGCGGATATGGGTGCTGTGCGTGTGGTTTCTCGCCATGACCGGTCTTTTCACCTGGAAGTTCATAGAGTACAAGAACAGAGCCGCTTTTAAGATCATGGGATACTGTGTGTGCACGGCCAAAGGCGCTGCGGAGACTTTGAAACTCAACATGGCATTGGTCCTGCTGCCAGTTTGCAGGATCACAATCACGTCCTTACGCTCCACTGTTTTCGGATCCATACTACCTTTCAACGACAACATCAACTTTCACAAGGTATGACTTCGTTTGTTCCTGTGTTTGTACGCATGCTTTCTTACGATGGCCTGTTTTCCAGCTTATTGCTGCAGCGATTTTGTTCGGCGTTTTGCTTCACGGAGGAACTCATATTGCTTGTGACTTCCCCAAGATGGCCAACGCAAACAGTCGTATATTTCTTGATACTATTGGGCATGGTTTCCACGGCCGGCAACCATCTTTCCTTGGCATATTGGCTTCGATTGAGGGGATTACGGGGATTATTATGGTGGTCCTGATGTCGATAGCTTTCCTTCTTGCAACGCACTGGTCCCGCAAGAACATCGTCAGGCTCCCTTGGCCCCTCCACAGGTTAACAGGATTCAACGCATTTTGGTACTCGCATCATCTTTTTATTTTGGTCTACGCCCTGCTGATCATACACTCGGTGTTTCTCTTCCTGACCCCAGACTGGCAGCAAAAGACGGTACCTACATTATGATCTGATTGACTTCTGATATTTTTTGTACTGCAGACGTGGATATATCTATCCTGTCCATTGCTGCTGTACGTTGGCGAGAGGTTCCTGCGCGTTTTAAGATCGAGGCAGCATCGAGTCAACATAGTAAAGGTAACTTTCCGCAGCAAATTGTCTCTCACGCTGAAACTTTGTTTCACAGGCAGCAATTCATCCTGGCAACGTTCTTGCCTTGGACATGACAAAACCTCCAGGCTTCAAGTATCGGAGTGGCATGTACATGTTTCTGCAGTGTCCAGCGATCTCGCCATTCGAGTGGTAAAAATCTTGGTGACCCTAGCAAGCAGATTGAAACACTTTTTCTTCTTCTTTTGTGTGGCCAGGCATCCCTTCTCGATCACGTCTGCGCCCGACGACGAGTTTTTAAATGTGCACATACGGACGGTGGGGGACTGGACCAAGGAAATGAGGAAAATCTTTGCCAAGGTTTGTTTGCTTCCCCTTCAATGCCTGTCCTGATCCACAGTTGTGCGTAGGCAGTTGACACTAGCTCTTCCATCGACGATTCACGGTCAGTGATCCCAACAACCAAACGTTTCCGTTAGTCCGCGGCTGGCTGGCTTACATCCCCTGACAGGTTTCCAAAGCTCTACATTGATGGACCTTATGGCGCTCCTGCTCAGGACTACCGAAAGTATGACGTGATGCTCCTCGTTGGCTTGGGAATCGGAGCTACACCTTTTATCAGCATCTTAAAGGACATGCTCAACAACATCAAATCCACGGAGCAACAGTCGGTAAGCTTCTCTCTTTTGTTTTCTTGTTCTTTTCTTAGCACAAGTTGTGTTGCTTGCTTGCTCGCAGGACATAGACTTTAGCAAGCCGTTTGATAGCCCGAGAAGAAAGAGCCGCAAGTCTCGTGGCCCAACAAACGCCTACTTCTACTGGGTCACCAGAGAGCAAGGCTCGTTCGAGTGGTTCAAAGGCGTCATGAATGAGGTGGCCGAAATAGATCACAAGGTCAGCCACTCGTCACCAATCTTAAGTCAGCCCCGCAACCACGATAGAAGCTCTTGGTTGATTGACTCAAAAGAAAAGATTTATTGCTGACGTATAAAGGTTTTGCTTCCGCAGGCAGTAATTGAGATGCACAACTACCTCACAAGCGTGTACGAGGAAGGTGACGCGCGCTCGGCTCTCATTGCAATGGTACAAGCTCTACACCACACCAAAAACGGCGTGGATATCGTCTCGGGCACCCGGGTAAAAAACTTTCATCCCCAGAGCTTTCGCTAAGATCTTCTTTTCTTCTTCTTTGTGCCCAGGCACGCACTCACTTCGCAAGGCCAAACTGGGACAAGGTGTTCGCACGTCTCACTGCCACACACGACAATTCAAGGATAGGTAAGAAGAAGAGAAGAAAATGATGAGAGCAAACTCCACTTACTTTGGTTGTTGTTAGGAGTGTTCTACTGCGGGCCTTCGCAAGTCGCCAAAGAGTTAGATGTGCTGTCCCGGAAATATTCCCAAGAGTCCAACACCAAATTTATATTCCACAAGGAGAACTTTTAGGCCGCGCGAAAAGAGCAGTGGAAAAAGAGGAAGAACCTCTCTTTCTCTTCGCTGCAACAGTGGTAGCCTTTTATGCAAGAGCACGACGCTCTACCTCATCCCAGTAGAAGTTTGGTGGCCATTGTCAGCGGGCCTGGACCACGTCACCACTGGATATATTATGTATAGCTATCGCAACACGAAAATAAATTACAAATCCACATTGTACCTGCCATGTCGGTGCTCCAAAATCTTTCCAAAGGTTTGGCTGGCCACCAAAATCTATCGTCATCCACCGCAAGAAGAATCCACGGCTATGTGATGCTAAAACAACCAGCAATATAAAATTGTGAGCGTCTCAGCTCTTGATAACAATACTTACGCATTGCTCTCTCAGCTATGTTTGTTGATCTCTTATTGCGGTGCGAGGATCGCTTTAATGCAGTTTGTTGGTTGGAAAGAAAACCTAAACCCCGCGGCATGCCAACTTGCTTGAACAACCCCGCTCTGTTGCTTCCGTTGTGGGGAGCTGTCAAGATGGACGCACTCTCTCACTGACGATCCACTTCAACCATTTGGATGTCATTAGGCGAGAGTAGCACGCCTGGAGTTTGTTGAGCAAAGTCGTCCAGGCTGTCCGGGAACAAACTCGTAGATATACCAAGCGACGAGTTCCCGTTTAACAGCAGGCTTTGCCTGTGCTCGAACGTCCCACCCACAGCTCCCAATGAATCGGCCAAACAGGACGGTACACGAGCAAAGTTAATGCAAAAACAAGTTTTCCACTGCAATGAAGAATCGCTCACCCAATACAGGTCCAAAGCCGATGAGCGGAGCAAATCAGAGCTGGATGTGCCTTGCGACGTCCCGAGTAGCGAACAA